TTCCTGAAAAAAAACAGCCGAAAAAGTGATAAAGCACTTCCTTCATTAACACTTACACAGTGGCGAAGCAGCGCTTCGAATCACTAGCGAAACCAAAAAAACTAGCATTGCATGCTAAACGACAGGAAAGAAACGGAGAGCCACTAGGTCCAAAGAAAACGGAAAAAAAGGAAGAAACCAGTTGAAAAAATTCATGCTGTCTGGAATGCTGTTCTAATTGCGGAAAAGACGTCCAGAAACCTACTGAACGGCGTTTAATGATAATTCACAAGCATTTAAGTTCTATTTAGAGACTTTTTTACGCGAAAAAAAAATTAAGCAAGAAAAAAACAAAAGAAAATTTACGATGTATAGAAGACAAGTAGAACTACAAATTGCAGGAGCAAATGAAAACAAAGAAAGCAACTACAAAGAAAACTGCATTCGGCAAAAAATCTAAAATCTGGTAACTAAGACGATAAAATATAAGCAGAAAAATAACAAACCGACAAATTTTTTGAAAGGGAATAATTCTTGTTTGAAAAAAAATCAAGTCCAGGTCAAATTCAAACCCAGGACCTTTGCCGTCTCAAGCGTTTTTGTTACTTCCAGACTAAGTGTGCTACAGAGTCTTAGAAATTTGAATTCATTATAAAACAAGATACCAAGTGTTTCTGTTTAGCAAGTTGTAAGATCAAAAAAAGTCTAAATTCCGATTTGATAACGCTTGCTAATCGCAAGAGTAATTAGGATACTCTATTATTTAGCTCCTATCACATTCATAAATTAGCAGAAACCTTCTTCAATTGAGTGTCGTTTTTTGTGCGTAACATAATGAGAGAATTTAACGTTAGTGAACTACGCTGTATCGAAAAAATAATGAAACAAAACATAAAATTGAGAAAAAAAAACGCTCAGGAAAATTTTGTAATTTTCTTCAACTTAATTAACAAGGAAGCGCAAAAAAATCAGCTTCCAAAATTAGTTTTCCTTCCAAACTTATGAAGAAAACTTAATTACGCTAATCGCTAGCGCAATTAAGATACTCTATTATTAAGCTCCTACCACATTCAAAAATTAGCATAAACCTTTTTCAATTAAGTGTCGTTTTTTGTGCATGATACAATAAGGGAATTTAACGTTAGTGAATTACGATTATTCGAAAAAATAATGAAACAAAACATGATAAAAAATTCAGAAAAAAAACTTTAGGGAAAGTTTGTAATTTTCTTTAACTTGATTAACAAGGAAGCGCTAAAAATCAGTTTCCAAAAATGGTTTTCCTTCCAAACTTATGAATAATGACTAACTCTCTCTTGCTTTACTCACTTGAAATAAAACTAGAGCTTTAACAACACATTAAATTGAACTTTCACAACAGGAAAACCTTTTTGCAATTGTTTAATAGTGCTCGACTCACGACTGGAAGAGTTTTCAAATGATATATCATTTGACCAAATCCGATAACTCTGCGGTACCTGAATTCGCAAGGAAAACATAAAAGAACTGAAATTCACTCTAAGACACAGTTCCTCCCCATTGTTTTAAGGGTCGGAATAAAAAAAATACAGACAATATTACAATTTTCAGCATTTTCAATTAAAAAATTAATCTTTGATCACACAAGTTGATCATTGGTTTTTTCCAGCAGCATATTTTTATCACTGAGGCAAAGCTGAGCTTCGCACCACTTGCAATATAACAAGATCTATCAAAATGAAAGAAGATGGTTGTGAAAAAATATAGACAAACAAAAGAATGCGCAAAGCCGAAAATACCTGATCAGAAACCCATCAAGCCGAAATTTCTTTTTTAAAGTCAAAACGAATTCAAAACTTTTTGGTCCCTTTTCCTCTAATAATACAGACAGGCAAAAAGGAATTTTTTCGCACATCAAATGACGCAAAAAGATACTACTAAGCCGATATAATACAAGCCGGAACCTATTAAGCCGAAAAAAAATAAAACTTGAGCAAACCGAGCAGTAAAAATGCAATCAACTTAAAAATTGCGGAGGGGAACGTACAATTTGTGTTTCCCTTGAAACGACCCACAATTAGGTCACTAAACGAATAAAAAATGGCCGAAATAATTTGAGCGGAATAAAGTTTTTAAGCGAAACAAACAAAGAAAATACGGAAAAAGGTACAGCAAAATTTAAAATTGCAGGAGTAAATCTGCTTAATTCCAAATGAGATAAGCTAGCAATTGTGTTACAATTAATCACCATACGAATAAATGAAAATTTAGTAGTTTTCAAAAAATTAAAAAGAACTCTTTACTATAGAATAATATCCTTTATTTCACAATCGAAACAATTCGCCACATGTTGGAGAACAATAACTTCGGCATTTCGAACTACAATTGTGAGGAGAACATGATATAATTCTTGAAAGAAAGATTTGAAAAGAAGGCTTATCCTCTTTTTCAAAGCAAAAAAGAGAAGTTTTTGAAGGAATTATTTGAGGTTTTAAAAATCATGAAGACAAGGCAAAAAATTGTTTGAAAAGCTTAAGCAATGGGATTTAACTTGAACAAAAAAGTGAATTAAATTAACGTGAAAAAAATCCGACCAAAGTCTTCTTTACAAAACTTAATTCTAGTTTAATCGTAAACTAAACTTAGCCTTACTTAAGCAGACCACTAATGAAAAGACGCGTTGTGTAAATCAACTAATTAAAAAACATTAAAATAAAATTGAAGAAAAAAATCTTTTCCGTTTTTGACAAACAGACCAACTCGGCGCAAAAGTAGCATTTAAGGATACTAAGCTCGATATTTCTAGCTGGTGAACCTCTGCGATCAAATCTGTTGTTCTACAGAATGATCGCATAATGAAACTTCGATTCGCATTTTAAAAGAGACAAGAGGAAGACGGGGCTAGACTTTAAATTACTTTCAGTTGATTTAGTCTTTAGATAGTTTTAACTAGTTTTTGTCTGAGAGAGATACATAAGTTTTCGAGAACTTTCGTTTAAAAAAATAAGGAGTAAGCAAGTAGTCGTAATTATGAGAAACCATTAGAGGAACTTGGATATTTTGTTTTTAAGGGCCTTGTTAGGTGTTTTGAAATTGAAATGTGTTTATAATTTTGTTAATCATAACAAAAGGCGGAAGCTATTTTGATGAATGGCAGTTGTGTTGGCGCTAAAAAGTAAGCGAATAGCTTCTTCCTGAGCTTTAATAACAGGACCACTATTTGGTGATAATGAGAAAAGTGTTGTATAGTGTTTGCTTTACCTGAGCATGACTTTAAAAACATCTTCAAAACGGGACAATATTAACACAGAAGCGAAGCTGCAGCTTCGCAAACACGAGCGAGAAAGCGGCGAAAACTCAGCTTTAAAATGCACAAAAACTCTGCATGTAATAATTCGGAATGTAATTAACTAAATGCAACCCCACTGACGTTGCATGTAATAAGTTAAAATGTATTCAGCCAAATTGCGAATAAGTTATGCATTTCAAAAATCTCGCGAAGTAAACCAAGTTGAAAATTTTCTGAAAAGGAATTTAAATTACTATACTCCTGTATGAAACAAATAGCTTTTTCGGAACAATTGATGAATTGAAAAACCATCAACTGTGCTAGCCTATTACTAATCAGAAGTCAAACAACTTGGCAGTATACTGCTAATACAGCCAACCGTTTCAAAAGTACCACTAAAAGTAGCACTTTTATTTGCGACATAGCTTAGACAAAATGTTGCATCGTACTATCACACTACGCTACGCTCGTGTAATAAAAACTTGCACACTGTCCGAAGAACTCTCCGAGCTTTGAGTGAGCACTTTTAAGGGTATTGCAGTTAGATTCAACACAATGTTAGGTGTGCTTTAAAACAAAACTTTTCGATGTAGATGCGCATAAACAATTTCAGAGATATCGCCTTTCTGAAAAAATTCAAAAAATTATAGCCAACATAAGTTGGAAAAGAGTCATGAACGCAACGAAATAGAAAATAATACCGACTTGTTTTCTGAAAAAAAAACTTCAAATTTCAAAGAAAAAAATGTACGGCCGTAAACATCTGGGAAGTTCCAAAACAAATTATGACCGGCCCTTTTTTGATAAAAGTAACTCAACTTGCCACACAGAGGCGAAGCTTTGCTTCGCAAACACAAGCGAGAACCTGACAAAAAGCAGCTCTAGAAAGTGCAAAAAAATAGTAATAAGCCTAGAATTAATAAAAAATTCGGCTAGGTTGAGGATTCGAACTGCGACCTAATGCAATATAGAGATTTTGAGTCTCACGCAGTAACCACTCAGCCACGCACGCTTAACCATCGACAAACACTAGTCACGAATAAAGCAGCTACATATGCTAATAAATTGCCAATGCCATTCAGCAAATAAAAATATACACAATTTTGCAAGTAATAATTTGGAATGAAACAAACGGAAGGCATCCACACTAACTTCGTGCATGTAAAAAATCGTAAAGCATAAAGCCACATTATGTATAGATTTTGCATTTCAAAAAATTGCAAGATATATTGAGTTAGAAAATTTTTGAAGTCGAGCTTTTATTCTTGTTATGGGAAGCTTTTTCAGTTCATTTGATGAATTTGAAATGCATCAACTGCGTTAACTTATTACTATTCGAATGTCAAAGCTCATGCTATCAAATCTGTAAAGGTTCCCCAAAAGTGGTACCAATATTTGCGTCTTAGGTTAGAAAAAAGTCTAGCAATACACTAAGCTGACTCTATTGTAAAAACTGAATCAACAGATAATTTTTTTGCACTGAGAAATATGTAAATTAAATTCCACTTTCGCAACTAGAAGATGATCACGTTTTTCATGACCTTTACGATTTTGCTGTTCGATAGCAGAATTTGCCTTCCTTTGAAGAAAAAAATGAACTGATGTCGCCCCACCCCTTCTTTCGGCACACTAGTACGTCCATGACTCTAATTAAAAGATCAAAACTTTTAAAACGTTTTTTTTCCCGGAAAATGTAGCTGCCCACCTTGGGATATTCCTGAACCTACTGCTGGTTACCAGCAAAAAAGGCACATCAAAATTTTATTCAGGTATAAAAAGATCAGGTGCATAAAAAGATTTACCTAAGAGTTCAAAATATCAGACACAATAGTTCTATACGCACAGTCATCCGCATGCGTTCCCCAAATGAAATCTAAATGTGCAAAATCGGTGCAGTTTTTAAAATAAAACACATTAGGCAGTCTGTCTTTCAAGTATTGAACGTCCACCTCTGAAACTAGCCAATCAGTATCGCCTGCGAAAAGCGCAACGGGAATATCGACATTACTCACATCAACAATAGGAGGTTTCTCCACTCCGTACGCTCTCAAGTTCACGTCTGAGTCTAAGTGGTCAAAATAGGCAGCGGTTTTCTGCACATGCAACTGAGCGTAATGCCGCACATTCTTCAGGCTAGTTCCTGAAACTGCGTGGGCGAAATAAACTGATATACGAGATGGGTTTAAATTGTCAGGACTGCTGAACCCGCTGAAATGTCTGTAAACCATAAGACAAAACCCTTGCACATTTTTGGGACAAAATAAAGCTGCCAGCTTACTTGCGGTAGTGTGGGAAAAAGGAAAAAAATGTCGGTCACCAATAAACTTTCCATAAGTATACAAAAGGCCAAGAAAATATTTCACTGGGCTTCTTATGTTTTGTAATGTTACGAAAGGCGATAACATATAAGAACGTTTGATAGATGCTTCCAAATCTGGGTCCTGAGCAAACTGAGTTAGACCTATGAGGGTTCCCTGAGATTGGCCAATATAGTAAATCTTTTGTTGGTTTGTAGCTGATTTTATGTAATCTACAATCGCTGGCAAGTCGTACCAAGCCATTTCTTGCCACGTGAAATCCCAATACTTTTCATCTTCAATTGAAAGTTTCCTGTGTTTCTTGGAATAGTAAGTTCCACGCACATTTCCTAACCAGACGTCGATATCGGAGCTAGCGAGCATGAATCCTAACGACTTTTTGGCAGTATTCGTTAAGAAAACTGACGAATCACATTCCAGGCAGTGCATTAGTAAAGCTATTTTGTTTTCGGCTAATCGACCATTCGATTTTTCGCTCATATTTGCCGACGTTTCTGGAGGTTTTTTCAACTTCGAACTCTGTTTGTTGACGCGATGAACAGTGAGTATGTATCCATCTTTAGTAGTGACAGAATGTTCTGTGCAATCGAAATTGTACATTTCGGCTAATTGACAACTTGTCGCAAACACTTCTGGTTCCACGACCAGGGGCATAATGGCGAGAAGTGCGTTTAGCAGAAGAAAAAGAATGATGGGAGCACAAACGACGCAAAGCCAGCGTTTCTTCATCACTAAAGTAGGCAATTTGTAAATTGGAGATAGTAAAAGTTCTCAATTTAAGTTCTTAGTCAGCTAAATCGAATAACTTTAAACAAATATAACAATTCACCTTCAGTGTTTCAAATGTGACGTGATTTGAAAGTCCAAATAGAAAGCTTGAAAATGAGGCGTCCGTCGTAGCTATCATTGCGTAAATTCAATGACTGGTCAAAGATTCAGACTTCTAGACCATTATTCAATAATCTTTTCATTCAAACAACAATTGAGCAAACACGAGACCATTTATATGACCATTATACTCATCTTATTTTCATATCCGACCTAAATCGAAAGCAAACTCAAAGAATTCCCGAGAGCATAACTATTCAAATTATTTTCGGCTACAGCCAATTTTAATAAGAATTGAAACATCTCGATTCAAAGGCCCGTTCATACGCAAGTTAACTATATTGCTGTTGAGTTCATCTGAGAAAAACTGCCGAAAACAAAATTTTCTAGAAGTTAAAACAGAATATCAGCTCAATAGAAAAAATTATAACTATAGGTTTCGGCTCTTGACTCTTAAATTAAATTTGATGTTCATCAGACGCCTTTTTTTGTTCAACCCTTCATTAAGTGCTAAAGAAATAGAAACATGAGCTTATATCCAGGCCACAAGACATTCCAAATATATTTTTGATTCTGTTCATAAAACAAAGTATTTGATGTTATAGCCTAACTGATGTGATAAACTTATTAAAGAGTTTCAGAGATTGAAGATGACTAATGAAAAATTGAACACCACAATACTAGAGAAGAATTCTGAAGGGTTGCCAAATCTGCGATTCCATGATCAAACTCCGATTTCAAGGCCAGATAACAAAAGATTATGCGCAGTGCTAAGCCCGTGTGAAGAAAGCTCACCTATCATTGAAACAATGCCTGCAAAAATCAGGGAAACTATTGGTCGACCCCGGCAAAACACTACCCCTGGAATAATCGATCAGCTAAGCACGCAACTGAAAGATCTTGAAAAAAAATAATCGAAGAGTCACTAGTGGGGTTCAAAGAAGAGATCACTAAGCTGTGAAAAACCACCTAGAGTTCTCAGAAGCCAAGGCTAATCTGAAGTTCACATCGGAAAAGCGGAGCTCTTAAAGTCTTACAATCGAAGAGACAACCTTAAAATCATTGGAATGACTGAAACAAGTTCAAGCACCAACAAATTTGAAAGCATGGAAACTACCATTGAGAAAGTTATGTCTGTTGCAAATGAACTATCAGCCACCATCAGCAAACAAGACATTTCGATTGCTTACCGTCAATATCGCCAGGAGATAAACCAATTATTGTTCGATTTGCGAGACGTCTAGCAAAAATTGAAATCCTGAGGAAAAATAAAACCCTAGCTGATCGAGAAAATTTAAAACATCTACAAACTTTTGAAGACCTCAGCAGGCCAAAAAATAAATTCATCAACATCATGAGATCAGATGACCGCATTTCATCCACCTGCACTAGAGAGGGGACGATATTAAATATCTGGAAAAGCGATGGAGAAGCTATCGAATCACCGGATTCTATGAAGGTGAAAAATCCAATTTTCGAAGTTCTCAACAATGAGTGCTTTTCCGATCATTATCCCGTTATGTTGCGTAAAAATTTCGTGAACAAAGATGCGATTAACCAAAAAATTCCGCGACATTTCCTTTCTTTCGATTTATTAAAAGTTAAAAAATTTTCAGCTTAAAAAAAAATTGAATTAATAATTGTCAGGGCTTGTAACACACGACGAAATCAGACTTATGACAGCTCAAATGTTGCTAGTACTTGAGATACTGACAATTTTTAGATTTTTAGGAGTTTCTCAAAAACTCGAATTTTTTTAAAATTTTCTTTCATTAACTTCTGTTTCTCTGATTTCGAGTGAAGTGAGGCATCGCTCTCATGCTTTATACACTGTTGTGAGTCACAAACGTTTTTAAATTTTTTTTCTGAAGTAATCCATAAGTTATATAATTACAATACATTTTGTTAATCATTACATTATTAAGTAAGTTAAGTAAATTGTTAAGTAAGCACTGGGTAGACTCTCAGTGGGCATTGAATTTGCCCTTTGTCCATCCACTTCTGTTGTATAATTTTTGATGGATAAAAATATAATCAAGTCTAATATAGATATTGTTTGCATATCTTTCATATTTATACAATTGAAGAAAGAAATTCTTTTTTTTTCTTTCTTTCTTTCTTTGATATATCCTAATGGGGGCTATTCTCATGGGCAAAAAAATCAAGGGCGCAGAACCGAAAACAAAAACAATCGAAAGTTAATTATTAACAGGAATCAATTGCTATTCAACTATAAAAAATGAACGAAGCAATATTTTGCTTCTTTTCTAAAAAAAAAAACCCTTGAAATAGAAAATTTGTTCCAATTTGCCGGCGGTCAGTGACAATTTGAAAGTTTTGAATTTTTTGCCGTTTTTATATTTGGCCAATATTAATATTAATTCCCTGGAAATGTTGACTTTCTTTGAGATTTTCTCAATTTATTTCCAAATTTTGGAATACTGAAATCTGATTGGCTGATTTTTATTTTCTCCCATTCGGTCCTTCACTTATGAGGGCTTCCGCCTAACTAAGTTTTTTACCCAACTAACGATTGTGACACGAAATTTACAATAAATCGAAACAAAACTGTCACTGAGTCGAAACATACTAGATGAAGGTTTTTGATTTGCAATCTTTTAAAACACTATAGACCTACTACTTACCAAAGAAAAGAATTCTACATGTACTCGATTCAAGAACCCGACTTGATCAACAGCTTGCCTTTCAGCCACTGAGCCAATTCAGCTCTAAAATGACAATAACAGGCTTTGCTATTAAAAAACGCTAAAATAATACTCGTATTCGGTATATTTCAATCCTGAGCGGAATCAAATATTATACTATATTTACTATTGAACACAAGCTTCAAACTTGCTACACTTGGACAAACCAGTATGTGGCATCATTGTCTACCACTATATTACGCCCACACAATGCTTGAAGAGAAAAAAGGAGCCAAAGTGCAGTTTCACTTGATCCTGCTAATAAAAAAGAGTGTAAATAGTCAAACAATTGTAATTAAATTTTCACATCATCCAGACAAAACTACAAAAAACAACTCAAAACACTATTATACCAAAAACTTAGCAAACACAATATACTTTTTTAATAAATGTTGCAACCATATTGAGCTCCGAGTTTTTGTAAAGCACGCATTTTGGCCAGAATAGTTCAGCTTCAAGAACTCCAGACAAATAAAATTAAAATCAGAGCTCACATTGGTTTTTAATTTTCACATTGATAACTAAATCATTCAATACACAACTCGAAGCTGTCTATGTCATTGAAATCTTCTAAAAGTTTCCTTTCAAGTTCAAGTTGTCTCAACACTTCCTCATTTCCAGCCGATTTGGCTTCAAAACTCAGGAAACTCTTGGATAAATTGTGACTTCTATCTTTTGAACTTGTTTCTTCCGGTTTTTCCTCGCCCTTGTTTTGAATTTTGTTTTTCTGAGAAGCTTTAGATTTCTTTTTGACTTGTTTACTCTCTTCGTTGTTTTCACTCTTTTTAATATTTCCTATTTCGCTCATACGTTTCCGGTCTCGTAGCTTCCGTTTTCCATAATTTTCGTCCGTTTCTATATCTCCTTTCTGCTGCAAATCAACGCTGTTTATGTTTTTTGACTCAACTTTTACCGCTTGTTCACCTTGTAATTCAATCGAAAGGCCGTCTGTAATGTCATCTTCGGTGTCATTAAGGCTTCTGGGACTTAGTTTTCTCAAAGGGGTCGAAGAATTTGAGCTCTGTTTCAGCAGAATTTTGAAGGCGCTTTCCTCTATGCTTGTAGCTGAGATTCTACTACTCGAAGTGTCATTTAATCTACCGTTTCGATAAGTTCCTGAAACACATTCTATATTTAACTGCAAGGCTTCACTATCTCGCCATACTCAGGCGCTTTCAATGACCTATTTGCATGACATATATAAAAAGGTTCAAATAAAAGGTTTGCACGTTTAAGCTGTGCCATTATGCCGAAATGTCAATTTGACGAAAATGTGGGAAATTTATTTTAATTGTCTTCTGAGGTGATGTTATATTTCCGGAACAATTAACAGGGGCAATTAGAGAATAATCAACTATGCAAACAGAATTATTACTTAAGCAGCAAAACAGCTAGCGGCGATGTGTCTAAGGCAAACATCCGATATGTCAAACATCCGAAATTATGCAATAATTACATAACAATATGACATAATAATTTCAAACACAAGATATAGTTCAATTAGCCAATTCCAATTTAGCCCTCTAGGTTTAGGGTCGCCGGTGGGCTCGCTTGCCTTATGGCGATAACCGGCTCTAATTTTCATAGAGTGCTACCTTCTGTTGGCAAGCTCGTAACACGTAGACATAGGAGCTTCGTCCAACTTTTGGAAAAATGTCCGAAGTTAGTACTAGTAAAGCTATTCAGGAATTTATGGTCGGACTACAGCAGATCACTTTAAGGTGGTATTTTAGGAAAATTGAAGTCTCATTTTAAATATACGAAAAACTGCTCGTGGATGCATACGTGAAAAAATCTTTCGAAACTACCTCATGTTTGGCTCAATCGCTTTTTTCAATTCACTCGATAACAAGCAGCAGTAAGTTTGTTTTAAATGTCTTCACAATTTTTTTAGCATTAAGACAGCCTTTTGAAGTGTAGAAACTGACATAAGCCAGGCAAACCATAGCCCAGACAAAACCATTCTGGCAAAGTCATCAATAAACCTTTGATTCAATTTATCAGATTTAAAAAAAAATAACTTTTGCATAGCTAAACCATCATAGCCCAGACAAACAATACCAGCAAGGTCAAAATTTTAGCCCAAACAAGTTCAATCTACCAGGTTTTATTCCTGATCAATTGCGTGAATTATTGCATAAAATCTTATTTTTGAAAGCGTTTTTTTTTCTTTGAGCGTTTCTGTCATCATTTCTACTTTTCCGCTGATTGTGCTCATTTTTGATAACACAACTATTAAATTGAGAAAACACACGTCTAAAATGTCATCAGTCGTGGGAGCTATTGAAGGTATGAGGATATTTCATACCTCCAATTAGAGCAATAATTACAATTGCATTTTTGAAGTCTAATCTGATTTTAAATCTGGGACCTTAATTATGGTAGCTCAGCCCGGAATTAAAAACTTATGGCGACGCACCGCTTTTTTACTGGTCTATCTAATTTGACCCTGGTTTAATCACCTGAAACTTTTTCGTCTGCTTCTGAAAATCGCACTGACTTCCTGTCCGTTTCCGATTCTAGCGAATCAATTACAATCTGGTTTCCAGTCTCCGCCCTCGCAGCTTTTTTCGCCTTGGCGTCTGTTACGGTGCTCTTTTTTACTTTACTGCTGCTCCCTGATTTCTTCTGTGTTTCTCTTTTTACTGTCGCACGTACTGGCATGTTCTCTTTGTTGTCAATTTCTTCTGTAGGCGGACTTTCCTCTAGTTTGAATTTCGTTCGTGTTCTGGTTCTCATAATCTGAAAAAAGTCACGATTGTCATTTCATTTTAGTTTTATGACTACTCCACTAAATCCTTCAAAAGAACTAACATGTAAGCAAGTTCGAAAGAAGGACAAAAATATATCAAAAATTTTAAATTAAAGTTTTTCTAAACCTCTTGGACGGTCTGGTTTACTTCAATTCTCCAAAAAACTTTTCTCACTAAAAACGTATAACCTAACAAAAAGCACCACACAAATTCACACGTAGAACTGCAAAAAAAAAGAAACCAATAATTTTCTAAAATGATTGAACTATTCAGAACAAACAACATCGTATAAATACTGTTTCAGTTTCGATAAAAATTAACGATAGTCAATATTCTTTAGAGATCAAAATGCAATTTTTCTTACACTGTAAGTTCTTACAACCAAATCCACTTTTGAATCTTACAGAATCGGAGAGCCCAATAGGAAAGAGCTCCTAAAGAGCTCCTTAAGGAAAATGAATTTCGGTATCATGCATCAAAATTCAACAGCCGAAATCAAAAAATAAGCATGAAACCAATTGAAGACTTTTGACTAAAAACAAACAAAAATCAAACTGAAAAAACTAACTCAAGGTGGTCACAGGGCCTGCGAAATTGCAGGAACTGACGACACTGCTACTCGCACTGATGAAATTAAATGCTAGGAACTGACATTTTTTGAAAAAATAGCCTTTTTCGGCTTTGTCAGACAACTTTTTTTCATTGGCCGATCTCATTGGTCCAATTTGGCTTTGAACCAACTTTTTTGACCCAACTAATTTCTTTTTCTCAGAGCTGCTCATACTGCTTCGATTTTTGATTTTGAATGATTCAGTAGAGAAGTGCTATAAAAAAACTGGCACTGATATTCATTTGCTGGCACTGATATGGCACTGACAGCACTGATACCGTGGTCTCCCAGTAACTTCCTTCATGGACACTTTAAAAAGTATTATCCACAACCTTTTCTCAAAAACGCGCAAACAAGAAACAGAACTAGCACAAAAAGACAAGCAGTTACCCTAACAGAAAACAAATGGATCAAATTTCATGTGTGCTACTTGTTCAAAGAAGAACAAAGAACGTGAACAAAAATTTCAAATTACAATTCCAACACAAAAAAGTTCAATTTAAATTTTAAGCAGATCCGATTTTTGCACAAGGTCGACACATGATTTGAACTGGTCTGAACTCATTTTGGAATAGACTTTCTTCAGGCGCTCCCTCTTTACGGGGTCACATTGGGACAAATGCGCTTTCCTATCCCTCCCATAGAGTAGTCTGTCCACTATGTGGTGCATCCAGAACACATTAGTCTCTGGCACATGCTGTCCCCAGTCATTGTTCACCTAAGCATCGATGCAGAATAAATTTACATGAACATCAAGGTTAGATTAATTTAAACAGAGGCTAAGCTGCACTTGAAAAACAATCAAAAAAGGCTCAAAAACTTGAAAAAGAAGTAGAAAGTGAACATGAAAATGAAGTAGAGCTTTCAGAACGGCAGGTTTCTATTTAAGCATGCGCAACAATTTATGTAAATCCAAATGAAATTGAGGCAACTTAAATGTTGCAAACATCTTGTCATTAGATGAGATATGTATCACTTTGTACTTGAAATAGAGTGTTGGTGGAAGATTTCACAACATAGCCAACTGACAGCTAAAAAAAAGAAAGCTAAAAAGAAAGCAACTCAAGAAAGCTAAAAAAACCGAGTTGTTTTTTTCAAAAATCTTCAATTTTTGAAATTCGAACAAAAAACAGATGTCCTTAAAGATCTTAAGAATTTGTAGAATAATTTATTTAAGAAACTGAATCAATGGGTAAAACTTTAATTTCGCTGCGAAATCTGATAAATAATTTCCATTTTCGCAATTAGATGTCGACCACGTTTTTCGTGACCTTACCAATTTGCCGTTCGATAGTGGAGTTTGCCTTCCTTTTAACTATAGAAATGCACTGAACTTAAAAATAAATCACGAGTCAAACCGCGAAAAATCAAACTTAAGCGTGAACAAAATTGAAAAAAAAAACACAAAAAATCAGCAAGACTTATATACGAGTACTCACTACGTCCATTACTCTTAAACAGGAAACGGGGCATTTGAAAAGTATACCTGTTCAGGGACGGATCTAGGATTTTTCCGAGGGGGCGGATTTTCAAACGAAAATTTTGACGATCGTTTTTTTTAGGTCGACCAAATTGATTTTCCGAGCTCTCCTAAAGCAGTAAAAAGACGCTTTTGGGCCATTTTTGAAAAATTTTGACGAAAAAATTGCTTTATTTTGGCGCGCGCTCCTCCTCAAAATTAGTATATATTGCCGCCTAAGGCGCCTTAACAAAAATTTTAGGGTCGGTCGACCAAAAATGGATTTCTTAAAAAGTACCAAAGGGGGGAACCTTTGGGTCGGCAGGGGGTCGAATCCCTGAGGGAGATGCGTCCGCCCCCCCCTAAATCCGCCCCTGTACCTGTTCAAAATATGTCTAGTAAATTGTGGCAGTACACATTTAGAGATTACCATTAAATTCATTAATCCTGTGAACAAAGTTATTTACGGGATAAAAAAAAGTCTTGTAACCGGTTGCCACACCCTTGCTTATCGCAACGATTATGAATAAAAAAAATGCATTCAGATTTTCTTCTTTTGACAGTCTAATAAAAAAAACTTTGTTGATTGAACTCGCAAAATTTTTGCCTTTTAAAACTCACAATTGAGTCGACCAGAAAACGTAGCCAAAATGTCAACTTGAACACCTTTCGATGGTCCAAACGATTGTATTAAATGTCAAGTCAGTTCCGAACATGACTGCTTTTGGGGTGAAAGTGTCTGGGGCGGAAATGACTGGTCACGGAACGAAACCCATGGCGCTAAAAATCTGCTCACTTCCAATCCAGCCAGCGCTTAAGAAACATTGCAAACAAAAATTTGGAAAAAATCTTGAACACAATGAAACAGAAAAAAAACTGATTTACTTCTTGAAAAAATCGAAATTCACGAACTAAAAAAATATATGACAATAAGGCTGTTTGAATTTCTAGAACAAAAAATCATTAACACTTTAACAAAAAAAAATAATTCAATTTCAGAAAACTGGAGTGTTAGGTGAAGTTCCGCTGGGATATCTAAAAATTGAATTCCATTTTTTGAATCGAGAAACTGTTCACGTTTTCCGCACCATTTCTTTTTTCAAAATTTTAGAGCGAAATTGCTTACCTGTTACTACTTAACTGAAGTGAACTCTAAGAATGAACATATACCTACGAGGACTCATAAATGCATTAGTATGTATGAACGCTTCTTCTGAAGCTCAGAGCGTGTAACACACCTCCGGCACCTGGAATGCCGATACCGGGGCCCTATGCCCCTTCGACAGACAAAATTATTACCAAACATATGTACCAGGATTCGTCTTTTGAAAAAAAAAGAAACTCGTTATTAACAAAAAAACTCTGTTACGATTGCATCGGATTAGAACATCAACAGAAAGACTGCACAACAAAACACACATGCAGCAAATGCAAATAACTTGATCATTCAACATTGCACGAAGGTCTACTAACACAGCACGCGCAGTTCAACACCAGTCTGAAATCAAATCGGTCGAACTACTAGCCAGTCAAAAGCCGACGCTTGTTAGTACCAACTCACTCCTCTATTTAGTACCAAAGACCCTCCAGCATCACCACAGATTCATCAACGTGTACGCTTGTCTCGGCAGTATAAAAGTACGAATAGCTAGATATCACAAAAAGCAGCACAATTTTTGGAACTAAAGGGAACAAAACACAGCAGCCCGATTCCTGTTGAACGATTCTATTGTCTAGCTAAATTAGACAAGATCTAACAGGGACAGGTCACAGCTACCACTGGATACGACAACTGCGACGATCGAGCTAGCCATGCCCAACAAAACCACTCACCCCTAGAGAAATCTGCTCGTCGCCCAACTAGTACGAAAAGCCACCACTGACATCAAATTGAATTACAACATAACTGACTCAGAGACAGAAGAAGAAATTACTCAGCAATTTGAACGATGCCACTACCTACTTAAAGACCACCTGAACGAACACGCGACAGCAGAGGATCTCATCAACCGCTTCACTAAAATACAAGATGAGCACGACGACGACATGGATGACTTCAGACAGATGCTACCAGAAAACACAGCTGAGACAAGTCCACAACAGCAGAATACTAATTACAATTTCCATCAAGTCCCCAACACAGCTGATTTTGCCAACCAGCAGCACTCATTCGACAGCAGAGACAATCCCCAGTTATAACATCGCCAGTGAACATCAAGCTACCGCAGCAACACGTGCGACTATGTGGTTTGGTTTGTTCAAAAACAGCAATTCACAACCATCCAATCTCAGACGCCGAAAAGATTACTAATCTCCAGACACTGGGAAAGCCAACCAAGCCATCTGTGGATTTTGCAGCAGCCAATTGTTCAACGCCACTCTTCCAGAACTACGACGACGATATGGACGACAGTACATCATCATCAAAGATTTTGTTAGCCGACTCCAGAAGTTCAACTAGCCATCAAATCATCGCAAGGATTCGTACATAGAATTCTCGACCTTCGCCAGGAACATGGTTGGAACTTTCCGAACATTTTCCCTCAGCAACACCAGCAGCAACTTCAATGGACGCAACAAATCACTGTCCAAACATCGAGCAACCTAATCTCATCGCTTTCGCCGGATGGACAAGACAGCTGATAATGGCAGAACCAAACGAGACAGACAACAAAGAAGACAAAATATTTTCTGCACATCAGGCGACAGCAACTATTTCCCTTGAATCAACCAACAACCGACATCAGATATCAGCAGCACCAGTAACGGACTCTTGGCAGACCAGCCAATTGATCTTCAATCTGCAACACGAGCGGCAGAACACACGACAGGCAGAACAATTTGCAACTAATTTGAAATCACTAACAGACTTGAAATCACCAACGGACTCAAGAGACGACAAAAACAACTAATGCAGACCAACTATACAAAGCCGCAGATCTGTGACCTGCCAAATGCAAAAAGTCGAACCAAGCTGTTCATATGAAAAACCGGAAACTAACTGGATTTAGATGAACTCAAAAAGGGAAATTATAATAAACTGAAATACCTATTACGTGCAACAAATTATTTCAAAACATTCAAATTCGCGAAACAGTAACATTCTACACATACGCGAAGTTCCACTTCGCATACACAAGCAAAAAAAATGACCGATAGCGTTACTGGAAAAAACTGAATGAGTACAACTTTGATTTGAGTCTACACAATTTCTTAAGTGAAGCACGCCAATTATGAGTCTACATAATTGCTAAGTGACGCAAGCCAATTATGACGCATTAGCAGTTTCAGTGAAATTCAAAAACTAATATTTATAATGCGGACGCATTTTAAATAACATACGAAAAAGATCACTACAAACATCCGACCCTGGCCAGGTTCCAAACCTCTTAGTTTGTTCGGGTCTCCTTCCCTACCTCTACGCTACAGATCCATGATACCTTGAAGCTAAAGTACTATTTGTACAATAAAAGTCTTTCTTAATATCCTTAGCATTGGCTGTACTTAATAGCTTTGCTTGTGTAAATATAGAAAAGAATAAAGTGACCATTCTACACAGTTCGTTCTCAACAAAAGGCCATCAGAACATTCAAGACTTTACCCTGTTACTCTTTGTCTTCATTACTTATAAAAATAGACCAAACATCAGCAGGAAAATTTGGGTTCGGTTAAAAACTAGCTCATCTATATCAATGCTGATCGGTTTATGTTAACGTCAGCCCTACAGGAGAATTTGGGTTCGGCTAGGAACAAAATCCCATCAATATCAATGCTGATCGGATTATGCGTCATTGTTCTGCCCATTCAAAATGCGGTGAAATTTTGCATTCAGGTGTGTTTATTGTTTCTCTTTTCGAGTACCACAAAAAATCATCGTGATGAGTCGAGTGATATATCATATAAAAGCACTTTCAGTCGTGATTGAAACGACATTTAAAAAATTCAAACAGTTTTCTTATTGTCGAGAAAAATCAGTTTAAAATTTTTGCTTTTAGGTCTACTTTTGAGCGAATAAATAGAGTCAGCAAACGTATTGTGTTTTTCAAACAAAGGCAGTTACCATAAAGAACCATCGGAATGGGTGGAGTGATATATCATATGAAAACCCTTTCAGCCCTGATTCGAACTACATAAAAATTTCGCCAAGTTAACCCAGTGTCGAGAAAAACTGGTTTTTTAAAAAGAGTTTCAGTTCAATTTCGAGCAAGTTAAGCGAGCGAGCAGGTTTATTAGTAAGATCTGTAAAAATTTTGGCAAAAAAAATCGAATCATTATTATTTTTTAAATGGGTTTTCTAGTTGAAAAATCTGTTGCCCAATTTGCCTGCTACACTGTGATTGCACAATAAGTCCAAGTCCTAGGCTTTCTTTAGACCCCTATTTATCATACCGCGCCCAAAACACGACCCACACTACTTTAAAAAAAACTTACAAGAAGTATTTTTTTAGGATCCTGGTCAGAACATTGTGCAACTTGTTCAGCAACCGGCTATCATTGTTTTGATTTGCATTTTGATACTAAGTATGTCTTACCAAGGTGCGCATGAACTTGTACACTTTGAACTGTCCTTCACTCTCTTTGTCTATTGTCCCCTTCTCCTCCTCATTGTAATCACAGGTAGACGAAGAAGTGCCTTCTGGTGATGGGACTATTTGGTCCACGAACAAGTCCGCATTCTCTTCGCCAGAAAGATCATTGAACTTCAGCTGGAATTTCAAATGAGAAGCTATATTTACAATTCTGTGATGCAAATTTTTTCGTCTGTTAGACACTAGTTTGTTTTGTATTCAGAAAAAGGGGTTGCATTTTATATTAATAAACACAGAGGCGAAGCTGTGCTTCGCAGACACTTGTAAGAACACGACTAAAAAGCAGTCTATCAGGTGAAATAAGAAAAAGTAGAAAAAAGCATCGAATCAGCAAAACCTCGGCTACGAGTACAATTCGAATATGCGATCTACAGCAATCAAGAGATTTTGATTCTTACGCACTATCCCCTAGTGGCATCAAATGCAAATAGACTCAATTTTGCCAGTAATAATTTGGAATAAACTGAAGGCATCCACACTAATCTTGCATGTAAGAAATTTATGTATAAATTATGCATTTCAAAAAATTGCGAGATATAATGAGTAATAAAATTTGTGTTAACTTAGTACTATTCGAATTTCGAAGCTCATGCTATGAAAAAGCTGTAAAGGTGTCCCAAAAGTGGCACTAATCTTTGCCACTTATGTTGGAAGAAAAACAAGGTTCGTACTAAAACACTCGCTACGCAAGTGTAAACATAGCGAACAGACAGTTGGAAAAGAGTAAATGACCGCAAGTCAATGACTTTAGCGTTCTAATTTCAAACTAAAAAAATATATGCACTGAAAAAAGGTCGACAAAATTTTCGAATTTGTTTTTTGAAAATTCACCTCCCCCCTCGAGAAAATCCTAGATCTGCCCCTGCACTAACCCATGGACGCTTAATAGGTACCAAACACTAGCCACAAATAAAGCAGAGAACAGATGCTATACAATTTCCAATGCTACAGTGAAATTTCCAAATAAAGGAACACATTAGTCAGGGTAGAAAAAAAGAAGGTTCGCAAAAAATACACTACACTGATTGCAAGTGTAATAAAATTAAATCAATATGAAAAATCTGGATCAATATGTAAAGTAATTATTCCGCTGGAAAAACTGAAAATTACAATCCACTACTGAAACTAGAAGCCAATCACGTTATTTGTGACTTTTACACTTTTGCTGTTAGATAGTGGAGTTTGTCTTCCTTTTAACAAAAAAACTAACTGAATTTTAAAAAAGTCAAACCGCGAAAAATCAAATTTGAGCGTCAGCAAATTTTAAGACTGCCTTAAAAAATATATCACGACCTATTTAAGAGTCTTCAATACGTACATGGACTGTTAAATGAACACTTTTTTTTAAAAAAAAAAAGCTTCCAAAGGAGTTTTTGATTATCAAATAAAGTAATTAAAGCAGGTTTGAAACATTCGAAATGAAAAATAAACTTCTCAAAAATGTTGAACAACGAACTAGCCACTGCGACCAAATATAATTTTACCGTAAAAAAACATAAGGGGTTGGATTCTGAAAAAAAATCTCAAATGGTCCTGATTTCCCAAGTTTCGACAAATTAGGACTGAATTAGATAACACAAACTAATGATTTTTTAAGCCTCGATAATTTAATTTCGCATGATGATAAAAACAGATTTTGATTGGACTGGTGCTTAGATACGATAGTGTAAACGTTTACCTGATTGTCTACTAGTAGTCTTGATAGAGTGTAGTCTATTATTGTGGCCTTGACCCCACGGGTGTTCACGTCCACGGTAGTAGTTTTGTTTCTGTTACCGGTTTCATTGCTCAGAGAGTAACTGAATCTCTTGACTCTTGTGGGACTCACCAACACATTGCTCATATGTAGATCCCTGTGCTCGAACTGCAGTTTTTGCTCAGCCATTGCTATACTGCATGCTGCAACGCAATCACCAGGTTATTGCTACTCTGAATCACTAAATATTCAGCATCCCCCCTCTATATGCCTTGTAAGTAAATTATAACCACCCCTTTAAAAAACATATTGAGGCTTAAACAGATGCGTATTTTGTACCTAGTAGCGGGAAAGGGGTGAGGGGGGTAGTTTAAGAGATCCGTTACTCCGATGTACCGGAGAAGTTCGCATCAACACACCTAATAATATAACACACTAATTGAGCTCAGATATTTGATCCATCGTTTACCTTCTACCATTTCAAATCTTGTATTTTTTCAAATCAAATCTGAAGAACAAATCTAAGTTTAAGCTCATGAATGAGCAAATCTCATTTTGAGCTTAATGATGTCTTTCCAAGTTTTTACGCTTCACTGTTTACGCCTCAAAGTGATGCGTTCGACTCCGCGGCAGGTTTTATTGCAACAAAGCAACATAGAAAGTTGGAAAAGTTCAAATGCACTCAAGAAAACCGAAAAATTGAGTCTTTGTTTCAACAAGTTTCAAGCTTTGAAGAAAAAATACATCAACAAATACAACTCTTTCAGTTTCAACAATCTTTTGCGTTATGTATTTTTTCACACTGAGGCGAAGTTATGTTAGAAAAAAATAAGGTTCGTAATAATACAAAGCTGACCGCAAGTGTAAAAAGGCTACCCCAATCAGAGAACACTGGTTCATAAGGTTACTTTTTTCTTCCGCTGGGAAATCAAAACATTAAAATCTATTTTCGAACCTTAAAGTCATTCAGGTTTTCGCGCACGATTCTAATTTTCGTAATTGAAGAGCGTTATTGCGATCCTTTAAGCAAAAGATTTGAAAACGAAATTAGAAACACAGAGCCCAAGCGGAGCTTTGCAACACTTGCGATGCAAAAAAAAGCACATTGCGCTACAAAAGTAAATGACAAAAAATACAATCAAAAAAGAGAAAAAAGTCAAAAAAAGTTCTGAAAAAATGTTGGAAAAAATACTTGAAAACGTAAAATGACAAAAGTTGGAAAACTACAAGTACAAAAATTCATATTTTTATCAGATGAAATTCATAAACAGCCCTTTAAAATGAAAACATTTATCAAGCGACAAAAAGGAATCAAACTTTGGGTCGAAACCTGTTGAGCCGAAAACAAATTGTTGTCATAAAAAATATCATTAAATTAAGTTTCATTAATTTTTTTACGACCTATCCAAACCGAAACACATCATTCCTAAAGGATATTCTTTGCCCTCGAAATTAAGCAAAATAAGTTGACTAGGTCGATATAACATGAACTAAAACTGTTTGAATATTTTTTAAAAATTTGAAAAAAAAACTCAAAATCAGACATAGTAAATCAACAATATTGTGAAGTTTCAGTTATAGTTAAAACTTTTTAAATTGGAACAAAACCCATGGTTTAAAAAGTAAACCAACAAATGCCCTACCAAATTGGCGTATAAAAAACGAAAAATAAACGGACAGAAACTAGGACGAAAACCAGGAACTCGAAAAAAAATTGAGAAGAGATGATTACAATTTGAATCGGGCTTGAACTAACTACTAGCTAAGTGATAGTACTTTTATTTGAATTTTCAAGAAATTGAGCATGTCAGAAGATGAAAGATTCTCTAAAAGTGATACTCTAGAAGTAAGATCTCGTGGACAAAGTTATTTACGGGGAAAAACGTCTAGTACCCGATTGCAATACCCTTGCTTATCGCAAGTGTAAAACAAACAGAACACGAACAAAAAGCAGTATTCTTTGCGAGAACACGACCAAAAAGCAGCTCTAGAAAAGGCATTAAGAAAAAATAAGCATCGAAGTAGCAAAAGCTCGGCTAGGTCTACAATTCGATCTGCGACCTAATGCAATCATGAGATTTTGAGTCTCACGCACTATCCACTCAGTCACGCAAGCTTAATATTCGACAAACACTGGTCACGAATAAAGCAGCTACATATGCTAATATATTGCCAACGCGATTCAGCAAAAGTGGCACCAAGCACAAATAGACTCAATGTTGCAAGTAATAATTTGGGATATACCAAACTGAAGGCATCCATGCTAACTTCATATGAAAAAAATAGCAAGGCATAAAGCCACATTATGTATAAATTATGCATTTCAAAAAATTGCGAGATATATTGAGTTAAAAAATTTCTGAAATCAAGTTTTTATCATTGTTAAGTTGTTTGAAAAAAAATTCCGGGTCATTTGATGAATTAAAAATGCATCAACTGTATTAATTTATTACTATTCGTATGTCAAAGCACATGCTATGAAAAAGCTGTAAAGGTGCCTCAAAAGTGGCACCAATATGTGCGACTTAGGTTGGAAAAAAAAGAAGGTTCGTACTATTACACTCGCTTGCAAGTGCAAAAAATACTCAAACAGCGAAACTCAAATTGGGACGTGAACAAAATTTGAATACTTTTTCCTTAAAAAACGACCTCAATTAGTGTCTTCACTCTGTTAATTGCCATTCAAAAAGAACTAAGAAATGATATTTAATTGACATTTAAAAAGCACTAAGAGCTTTATTGGGTAAAAATATTTACCTGAAAAATATCAGGCAATCACAAATGAGAAAACAGAAAACAGCTCTAAAAAGGTACATAAAGGGCGATTATAAATCAATTATGAAAATATGGAACTCAAAAATTGCATTATAACTAAGTGCATCAATATTTTAAGACTTTTAAGAAAAAAAAATCAGCAAGACCTATATAAGATTCTTCACTACGCTCATTACTCTTAATAAAAGATGTTCGTAATATAACACTACGCTAGCCAGCGCGCATGTGTAATTATGGGCAACTACGGCCGTTTCACGTTACTGCTCAGTTTTTCAAAAAAATGATAGAACCAATAAATACCAAATTCAGTCCTAGTTGGGTATATCATGTTTTTTGATAGGCTAGGGGTGGAGTATAACGGAAGCGCCGCAACTAGTTACCTATCTGCTGCACCGTGGACACAACTTGATCGAATTTAGTAAACACGAACTGATCCAGAGGAAAGCCGGCATCCTCCAAAGACAACACACAGAACTCTGTCTCGTCCGGCAGACAGCTGGGGTCACAGTTCAGGGCTAGATCAGGGTACAGTCTGCTAAACCTGAACAACGTTGTGGCCAAGTTAATGATTGATTATTAACCCTTTAACATATACAGCTTTTAACCTATCATTTCTAGATGCTCAGGCAGATGCCTACTACCATCTTTCAACTAAACTCAATATGAAAATCGGCAGAGTAGTTCTCTAGAAAAAAAAAATTGGAATTTTCCGTCGTTCCCACAAAAATGAAGATAAAAGTTTATTCCGGGATGATCTGTGCATGATGTTCTTTCAAAGGAATCATTAACCTAAAAGTTAGTATGGTAGATTTTGAAAAGAGCGAAAAATTTCCAAAAAGATAATTTTCTTACTTAAAGTAAGGAGTCGCCGCTTCTGCGGTAAAATTCTCGTATATTGATCTTTCGATTCAACCCTTAATCTCAAATTTGGTAGGGTAGTTTTTGAAAAAAAGTCAGTTTCCAAAAACCGGTCAAAATATTCAGATTTGACTTTTCGAAGGGCTATTACTTTTTTCGTACAAACTTTAGCAGAGAATACATCCCCAAGCCTGTATTTCTATTGAATCATTAACCTGAGAATTGGCACGCTGGTTTTCGAGAAAAGTTAAAAAGTTTCCAAAAACCGGTCCAAAAATCAAAAACTTGACTTATGTAGGGGAAATTTCCACAGCCTGTTATTTCGATTGAGTCAAAAATCTCCAATTTGAGAGGGTAGTTTTCGAAAATTTTCAAATAAGGGTCAAATATCAAAAAATTGACTTTTCCGAGGTGCATAACTTTTTAATACATAAATTATTAGATTTGGCAGGTTTGTTTAAAAAAAACAACTACCATGCCCCCCCCCCTCAGATTTTTTCAAAGGCTATAGAACTAAGTTAACAAAATGCTACAAAATCAGCTACAATAGATATTCGCATATTAAAACAATTCAATCAGGGGCGGATTTAGGGGGAGGGGGGCGGACGTCCACTCCCCTCAGGGATTCGATCCCCTGCCGACCCAAAGGGTCCCCCCTTTGGTACTTTTAAGAAATCCAGTTTTGGCCGAGTGCCAATATATACTAATTTTGAGGGGGGAACGCGCGTCGAAAAAAACGCGATTTTTCGGTCAAAGTTTTCCAAAAAGTGCCTAAAAACGCCTTTTTTGGCCAATTTGGTCGACCTAAAAAAAGGTCGACAAAATTTTCAAAATTTTTTTGAAAATCCGCCCTCCCCCCCCCCTCGAGAAAATTCTAAATCCGCCCCTGAATTCAATGAAAAAATCATGCGATTCTTCCAATTTAGGCCAAATCATTAAATTGCCTTTTTCAAAAACTGACCTTTCCTAACTTGAGTTGCTACGTTCTTAAAAAGTGTAGTGATAGTTTTACCGTTATAAGTTCAAAAATCGTACTCTAGCCTAGATTGAGGAAAGAATCAAGGTCATGGGTGTTAGATTACGCAAAAAAAACTTAAAATACATATGATGTCAAAAATGAGGAGCAAAGGATGAGATACCTCTCCCAGGCGTCCAGTAGTATCCTTGGGTAAGCACCGGTGACATACCAGGCGCCATACAACTGCACGAAATTGGGACATAGTTTGCTCAACAAATCTGTAATGACATACTCGTTGTCTGCATTCAGCCGATCATTTTCAGTCCCACTGCTCAAAGGCATCACTTTCAACACTCTCTTCTCAGATTCGTCCACACTGTTATGTAGAGCCACTCGAAACACTTCAGAAAATGCTCCCTCGCCTATTTTGTCAACTTGCTCAAATGAATCCAGTAGTCCTTTAGCGTCTTCGAAGATTTCCCGATTCTCCAAAGTCAACAGTTTGAGATAACTTTTGCAAGATTTTGTAGCTTCTATCTTACTTGCTTCGATTTCCAAGTTAACTTTGTCTACTGTGACGTCTATTTCTGACACACCTGTCCTTTTAGGGGTTGGAACAACTACATTAACTTTCGAGAAGTAAGCAAAATCTATCTGACTTAGGTTTCTATACAAAAAATGAGGACGTTGAAATATTAAGTGCGTTCAGTAACTAAATGTATCAGTATTTTACCAGATCAGATCAATAAAATGAACCACGTAAAATTAGCGAGGGTTATGTACCATTTGTATTACCAAATGCATGATTTTAAATGCATACGTGCATAACTTTTGGTTTGCGGATCAGGTCATTTCTTTTTTGGTTAACTGACCTGCTCCACTCGTTTTCGGCTTAGTGTTTCATTGGTTTAAAAGTTACCGCCTAAAATCAAGATTTAGATGCAAAACTTTTCGACATAGAATTAAGACCATTTATCCACGGGGGAAAGGACCAACACAAGAGCTGTACAGCTCATCACGGCGAACCGCTGTTGTGCCCCTGTTTATGATTTTTTTTTTGAAGTTTTCGAATGATTTTTTTGAAGTTTTCTTTCGGAATCTCAGTCACGACTGAAAGGGTTTTAGTTTGATACCCCGCGCGATGCCCTATGAGCGTTTTTAGAATATCCTAGGCTTTAGTTCTTTCCCTCTTTGAGAGTGGTTGGAACAAAAACCTAACTTCATTCAAACGACATCTACTAGTCAAACCTACTAATTTGGACACCGTTATCGTACAATTATCGAATTTACCGAGTTTCAGAATAATATGAATTTTTCAACCATCAAATTACAGACATTAAATTGCAATGTAAATGTTCCAAACCCTGTTACCTCGTGTGTATCACGACTGATTGTCTGGATTTAGCAACCATTCTGAGCGACTGTTTGCTTAATTTACACATGCTCAAATGAGGCCTGCTTTTTGAGTCGACATTTGATTGGAAATTTCTTCGCAAATTTATGATAGTAGTTCGCCTCTTAGAAATCCTCGATTTCATGTCCGCGAATGGGGGAACAAAAATTTTCTTAGCGGAGCTTTTCTTATCCTCTGAAATTTGTTCAGATTTAGCATTTTCAGGATTTACTCGATAATGATTACTTTCGCGATTATTCACCTCAGCCATCTCGCCGTCTAACAAATCTTCATTGGAAAATTCTGTAGATAAAACTCCCAAGTGCGCGTTTGGCGAAACAGATAAAAATGAAGCGCGTTCCTCGGTATTTCTCACTAGTGTTTTCTCGTTTTCAGGTTTTTCCTCTCTTTTTAACACCTCAGTTTCAGTTTGAATTAACTGTTCTATATTTTGAGTTACTTGCTCTTTTGCATTTAACAGAGAACTTTGCGCGACTTCTACATGTTTCGAACCCATAGTATCAGTACTTCCATCCAGGTATGAATTCAAATAAGGACCAGAAGTACCTTCAGTGGAATCCCTTTCGCGCGATTTATCGTGTACATTAGCTGGGCAAACCATAGAATAACTACTAGCTGTACAACGAGTACCTTCACTAGCACTAGGTTGATCGGGAATAACTTCGACAAACACGCTTTTCGAATTATCCCACTTCTCTGGTGTGCAATACGTAGAACTGATGTCGCTAAGGGTATCTAGAAACAAAACAGCAGACATTTCACCGCTGTCATCTGAGATTTCTTTGTCATTTTCATTTTCTCCCAACTTATCTATTATGTCTGCTGAAATTGTTTTATGTCTGCTGAAACTGTTTTCATCCTCCAGATACGCCGTAGGATCATTTTGCTCCTCGCAACTGCAACGTTTCGAATTCACTGAATTGTAGTTATTTTCTAATGATCTAGTTGTGGGCGAGCTTTTTTCACCTGATAAAAATTGTTTCTCTTCTAAACTACTGGAAAGCGCCTCATCAGAAAAGCGACAGTTTGAACCACTCAAATCGCATTCTTTTGCATATTCTACTCTGGGATATTGATTATGATTACTCGAGTAGATAACTTCATGTGGCAGTTCATCGGTAGAAATATTTTCCTAATAAACAAAGCACTAAAAACTAAGGTAGTCGAAAATGAAATTATACCAAGCCATTTCTCAATAAACTCAATAAGTACCAGTTTCTTTAAAAACGTCTCTTAAATACACTAATAATATCTTAAAGTAAACCTTTTCATCATCAAGACCCTCTGCAAGCGTCTGAAGCCGTGGCTGAATGGAGGATGCGGTGAAATTAAAGGATGGCTTCATCTTCATGTTGTATCTCGGGGGTGTATTGTTCTCTTCTTCGGTGAGTGCTGCATTGAACAGGTTCGACGCACGTGATCTCTTCCCAAAATGAACTCTTTTCATATTCATTCAGTTCATCTGAAAAAAATGAACAATGAAAGAGTGGATCTAAAGGTTTCTCAGAGTACTGATTCCAAAGAAAAGATTTCCGTCACTTTCTTTCGTCGAACTGTCTTGCAAAAGTAAACTCCTATGTTAGTAAGGCATGGAGCGGTTAACCAAATATATGGTATTTTAAACGGTTAAAAAGTTTGAACCGGTTTAACTTAACCATTTAAACCGGTGAAATTGTAAGGAGGATGTTACTGCAAGTAAACGGACGGTTCTCTTCATGAACTTTCTTCAAATTTTACGATTGAAACACACCATCTTGAATATGGATCTGAATATCGAAATATCGTCAAAAAATAAAAAACTTGAAAACCTCGATGCTCCTTTTTAATGCGGTCATTCTTCGGTACCTAGCAAATGTTCTAATTCAGATCTGAAATAATCTGTTTCAGAAAACCCTCCTATATTTCAGATCTGAAATGAGTTGTGAAATGTTAAAATAAGGCTTGGATACTTTATGAATGGATTATTTCCGATCTAATTTCAGTTCTGAAGTTTGTTTTTCATGAATGATTCTGATACAGCTTTTGCAAAAAATTGCAAATTCAGTCGTTTGCTCAAAATGCATACAATTTGGTTTTTCATGGTTATTTCAGGTCTAAACGCTTGAAATTCATATCTAAGATCTGGAATAACGAATTTAAGATCTGAGAATTAACATAAGAAATAAAGCAAAAAATGCAATTCAGATCTTGTGTAGAAAATCAACTAGGCAGCCCCATTTCACTATATCCGCCCCTGTGAATGACAATCACTTCGTTCTTTTATCCTTACACAAAACAAAAAAAACTTAACCAAGTCTGATATTGTAAAAATTCAATAAACATTAAATTTCAAAAAACTGGGTTAAAAATTCATATAAGAAAAAGATTCATCGGATTTGATAACACCTGCTTTTTGCAAGCGAAAACTTTTCATTTATTTATTTAAATGGACATCCGTGCCTGAGACTCTGAATATTACGTGTGTCTTACCACTTTTGCTCTGCACTGATGTGAAATTCAAAATGCTCGGAAGTTTTTTTCTCAAAGCACAGGAGTTTTCGTTGCAGCTTGAGGCACGATTGAATCATATAACTATCAAGCATTACATACTCACGATTATTTATATTTCTTACCATTGAAAATACAGTCAAACAAACACACAGGCTAACAAGCAAATTTCTGCGATGTAACAAAACTCTTTTGCCAGAAACGTCCACTCTGTTTTCTTATATTGAAAATTGGCTTTTCAAGTGACATTTACATTTTAGATATTCAATTACTGATTTGCAAAAAAAAATAATTTGACGAGAATAAAAATGTAGCCTAACCGAAATTCGAACCTCAACATCACACTTCATTATTTCATCGATTTGCTGTCAAAAATGAGAAGATTGGCCCTCAATATCAGCAAGTGCTGAGCCAAAACATCGCACAATCTCAGCTATTTTGAGAATATCCAAATACGCATACGCGAGATGCATCACAAATAATTAACACAGATCGGCTAAGCTGCGCTTCACAAACACCTGCGAAAACACGACTAAAAAGAAGCTCTATCAAGTGGAATACGAAAAAGTAGAAAAAGCCTCGAATTAGCAAAACCTCGGCAACGAGAAGCATTCGAATCTGCGAAACACTGCAATTAAAAGATTTTGAGTCTCACGCACTATCAACTCAGCCACGCAAGCTTAACAACCGACAAACACTGGTCACGAAAAAAGCAGCTACATATGCTAATAAATTGCCCATGCGATTCAACAAAAGTGGCACCAAATAAAAATAGACTCAATTTTGCAAGTAATTATGGGGAATATAACAAACTGAAGGCATCTACACTAACTTTGAATGTAAGAAATCGCAAAGCATAGAGCCACATTATTTATAAATTATGCATTTCAAAAAATTGCGCGATTTTGAGTTCGAAAATTTCTGTTAACTTATTACTATTCGAATGTCAAAGCACATGCTATCAAAAATCTTTAAAGGTGTCCCACCATTATTGGATTATTGGAGTACCGCACTATAAAGATGCCGCACCAAAATTTGCGACTTGGTTTGGAGAAAAAGAAGGTTTGTACTAAAACACTCGCTTCGCATTGTAATGATCTGAGTACTGCACATCCACTCTGTTTTTAGACCCCTGAAAAACTGGCTTTACAGTGAAAAACTTAGCTGCGCAAATAAACTGAGCTTATGAAACTTAAGAAGCAGCAATTAATTACTTAATAAACATAGCCAATTGACAGTTGGAAAAGATTAACGAACGCAAGGAAACTGAAAAAAAACACCGACTTGTTTTTTTAATCTTCAAATTTTGAATTTCGAAGAAAAAAATAGAGGGCTTTAAACTCTCTGAATTTGCAGCACAATTTATGATGCGCACTTTTTCTTTTTAAATTAACCCAATTTGAGAAAACTGGATCAATAGGTAAAACTTTTACTTCGCTGGGAAATCTAATAATTGATTTCCATTTTCGCAATTAGAAGACAATCGCGTTTTCGTGACCTTAACAAATTTGCTGTTCAATAGTGGAGTTTGCCTTCCTTTTAACTATAGAAATGCACTGAATTTTAAAAAAAAATCTTAAGTCAAACCGCGCGAAAAATCAAAATTGAGCGTGAACAAATTTTAGACTTTTTCCTAAAAAAAAAAACAAAACAAAATTCAACTGCGTTCGTTACTCTTAAAAAATCAGCAAGACCTATATAAGAGCACTCACTAGGTTCATTACTCTTAAAAAAGCCTGAGCCCTGATTTTTTTCTTGTGTTTGCCCCAATTGAAGCAATGTAAGCTTTTGCTCTACAGACAATCTTCACGACAAGTTTAAAACATTGAATCATTGAAGAATGAATTTCAATCAAAATTACAAATTTTTCTGTGATAAGTGAACTTTTATTGAAATTATAAGGCGAACAGAATAGAACACAGCTAAACTATGTTTCATGAATGATGTCTGACAACTCCGTGTCGCTGACATAGCTCGAATTATCCGAGGGGTACCATCTGGGTTCTGCTAACAAGTTCGTCGCAGAGTAAGCTTTCAAAAGTACACTCTCCAACTCTGTTTCTGAGAGACGCTCACTCCAAGAATCAAATTCTGCATCCAATTTCACCAATTTAACTTAAGATTTCATGAATTCCTATTCGCGTAATTAAATTGCAGCATAAAACAAAACTAATTGAAACCTTTCAAAAAATACTTAAACATCGGTCTTCAAACTCTCACACTATCATTTTGGAAATTCGTGAGTTGAGGTGTTTTAAATTACATTTGGATCAATAATTGACTTACCCAATAAAAAGATCCAACAAATCAAACATCCTGTTAATTGACGCCAGCTTATCACAAGTCTTATTAACTCTTATTATTGTTGGTTACAAGTAAAAGGATTACGAAGTTAAATTTATGCCTGGATTCTGATCAAACATCATGGGAATGTACTCGTCCACTGGAATCATCTGGCTCAGCACCTTCGTGTTCAGGAGTTTCTTGGCGCCTTCTGCAGTCAACATGTAGGCCACTGTCCAGTAGGAGTAGCCTGGTCTGGACAGAAGTTTACAGTCATCACACGCAAGATCGTCTGCTTGTGGCTTCCGTCCCAGATACCTAAAAATAAGAGACACTGTGAAGCTTACTGAAAAATAATCTTCAACGCTGCTCTACCCGAAAACATCGAAAGTTAAATGGTGAATTTTTGTACTTCCCATATGCCTGAAACAAAGTGAAACGTACTGGAAAACCAATGTTTTATGTAACATGTACTTAATTGAAATTACAATGCATGCGACGGGCACCCAAGAGCATAGCTCATTCGGCATACACGCATTACAAAAATATTACAGATGTCTGACCCATAACAACAGACAGATAACATATTATCTATGGGAAACTACGGGGTATGGTCATGGTAACCACTTACAACAGCTCCCCTCCCTTCTCCTCGAATTCCTCAATGACTGCGTTGAGAAGCTTTTCGAGGTTCTCCTTTCCTCCTCGGTTGAATTTGACGTCGTCCTCCACAATAAGAGTGAGTGGGATATTACTGTTGGATATTTCAGTCCACACTGAGTGGTGACTAAGGAAACACGCAACCTCGCCCATCTTCATCGGCCTGAACAGAATATGTAATTTCATATTTCAACAACAGATTTTGGGTATGTTCGCTCAAACAAAGCAGACACCTTAGCACTACAGGTTTTCTATTTCCACGATTCATTTCTCCGTTCATGACCAAAAACACTTACAATCAGCATGCAAGCAATACGGACAGTTTTCACCAAATCATGTAATAAAACGCTCAAAAAGTAAGCTAAAAATTTTATTTAAAATAGATTGATTAATAAATTACAATCTGTTGCGCCACGAATAGTTGAAAACTGAGTAGACATACAGCAAATATCAATTTAAAGGCTGTTTTTCCCCTAAAGACTCAAAAGACAGAAAAAAAATTAATTCCAATTTTTACTTTGAATGCATAGCTGAAGGAAGAAAATAGCGCATGCAGCACAATTAGTATGACAGAAGAGTTAGCAATCCAAGTGAAGGGATAATCAAATAGATAAAGAATGACATGACCTTTACAGAAGGTTAGATCTCACTCACGTGCTCTAGTTCTGCATAAATATGGGTGGCACTAAAATGGGGCGAAGGAGCTGAAACGTCATTCGTGATTACTTTTGAATAATTAATTTCATATGCGTACATTATTCACTAATTTTTTACACAGAGGCGAAGCTGCGCTTCGCAAACACTTGCGAGAACACGACCAAAAAGCAGCTATCAAGTGAAATAAGAAAAAAGTAGGAATAAGCCTCTTATTAGCAAAAACTCGTCTACATGTCGGATTCAAATCTGCGACCAAGCAAATTTGAGTCTCACGCAGTAACCACTCAGCCACGGAAGATTGCAATCCCCAAAAACTAGCCACCAATAACGCAGCTACATATGCTAATCAATTGCCAATTCGATGCAGCAAAAGTAGCACCAAATACAAAAAGACACAATTTTGCATGTAATAAATTGGAAAGCATAAAGCCAAATTATGTCTAAATTATGCATTTCAAAAAAAATTGCGAGATACCCTGAGTTTTAAAATTTCTGACAACGAGCTTTTTATTATTGTACTGCTGTTTGAAACAAATAAATTTTTACGGTTCATTTGATGAATTAAAAATGCATCAGCTGTGTTAACTTTTTACTTTTCAAATGTCAAAGCACATATGACATTATACTGCTACCGCATCCTTCCGCTTCAAAAATGCAACCAAAAGTAGCACTTGCACTTTTATTTGCAATTAAGGTTTAAAAAAGTTCGCACGAATACACTTTGCTACGTAAGTGCCATGAGGAAACTGGTGTATACGACTTCGACACTTTATTCACCAAAAATCAGTTTGAAAATATGCTTTTATTTGAAAGATCGATGACCCTTGATCCATCGATTGCCAAACCAAACAAACCATTCAACAAACTACTTAAAAATAGCCAACAGACAGTTGGAAAAATGTAAGTAAACAGGGAAACGAAAAAAAGCCGATTGAAAAAAATATATCACGTTGAAGCTCTTTGAGTTTCGAATACTGTTTATGATTGGCACTTTTTTGCAAAGTTTGGTACTTGAAACAAGTAAAACAAAAGAACGAAAAAAATCAAACCGCGAAAAATCAAAAAATCATCAAGACCTACTTAAGTTAAAATCACTTCGTTCTTTTAAACTTAATAAGCTTTTAGCTATCTGCTCAACACCGCAAAAAGAGAGCCGTGCAAAAAAGAGTTCTATAAAACTGACATGCATATTACCTTTTGGTGGCGTCCCTCATGATGGAGGGACCGAATGATGGAAAATCGAGTATTGAAAAATCTAAAAGAAATCACAAAAATCTCCAAGAAACCTAATAAATCCAGGCCATCAAAATTAATAATGACTGATTAGAAAATAAGTAGATACATGAATTATCAAATATTGCGAAATCTAAGTCGGGTATTGTGGAAAAAAAAATTTAAAACCGATTTTAGAAGATGAAAAGAAAATTACTGCATATCTGCACGAATTGTCCAGCAAAGCTTTGCCGTGCTGCTATAACTCACTTTCTGTTAAAAATGACTTCGTTTTCGTGCAAGTGAATTAGCCGATAGGAACTCCCCACTATTCTGATTGGTTAAAGTTTTCCACCGTTCGGTCCCTCCATCATGAGTATACACCAATAGTGCGGTTTAATAGTGCGGTTTAACACAAATCATGAAAATGTATCAACTAAATGACTAGCATACCTTTTGTGATATGGGTCCAGGTATCCTTCCATCACTTTCACTCCATTTTCAACCAGCACGTCCTTATTTAGTTCCCTAAATCCACCAAAATGAAACAACAAATTTTGCTAAAAACGGGAAGCCATCTCATTTGAGTTTTTATGAAGACAATGTCAGATATCAAACACTAACTTCATAATTTCACTCAAAATTGAAAATTCCATGCCAAATATGCTATCCTTCTGGCAGGGTAGAGTAAAATCCAGACAGATTGACCGATCATGCAAATCCAGACAGATTGACCGATCATGCAAAACAGATTGACCGATCATTAAAGTATGTTTGACTTGCCTGGCATCTACCGCCTTCAGTCTGTGGTGAGTCATATTCGGGAAGACAGAATTGAGTTCTTGATCCACCTCCACTCGCCTTTCTCCTCTCCTATCCAGATTTATGAAGAAAATCTAGACAAAAAAAGAAGACGCTCTAATTTGGCAGATGTGTTTAAGGCAATAACAACTTCATTTTCTCAGTTTTTTTTAACCAAAACTTTTGATTTCTGACATTAGCAACTTTGACTACGCTTTTAAGGCAATGCCAAACTTTCAGGGTATCACTAACTGTATTCAACTCTCATCTAAAAAAAAGCAGACCGATTAATATAATAATGCTATACAACATTACGATTTTGAATCTTACCTCAAATTTCTGAGAAGCGCAGAAAACAGCCTCTATTAGGATATAAAAGATAGAAATAAGAATGAAAGTCTTCATTATTCTACACTGAAAAGAAACAACCAGATACAACTTACAGAATCAAAAGTATGTGCTATTCTGAAAACAACTAATAACCAAATGGTAAGTTGCTCTTAGGAAAACAAACAGGACTTGTTCTTTACTTAAACACCCCTTTCCCACTCGTACATGTTTGTTAAACCTTTGAGAAAACACCATTATGCAATATTTACAAATCAGGCTGAAAATCTGTCAGTGCCAAAGACTGCATCTTTTAAAGCTCCTTAGTGCAAACACAAGCAAAAAACCGCAAATTGGAGCTCTACAATCGTCAAAGAAGAAAAAACGCGATAGATACGTCGGATTCATACCTCTGTCCCAAGAGTTGCTCGAATTACACACATAGTCTTTGCGCTTTGCCTTTAAATACTTTCACGCATAAATTATTCTTAGACCTTAGGCAGAAAAAAATGCTTTATTTCCGAATTCGTTCCAATTAATTAAGAAAACGTTAGTCCAGGATTCACGGTTTTTGCATGTTTTTACAAAATTTAGAACATCGAAGAAACTAACAAAAAAACGCACTTTTGTATTTGTGTTAACTATGGATGGTAACATCAACATAATTTTTTCCAGATTTTGATTGACTCCGAAAAATCTTCTCAGCCCTCCGATCAACTCAAGTAGCCTCAAGCTAAACTGATAACCAAAAACTCATTCACATTTTTAGACAAAAAGAATTTACCTTTCTTTTTGTCTAAAATTTAACAGTTCTTTTTGTCTTAAATTTAACAGCTCGGAATCAAACTGAAAAGACTTTAAAGGGAAAATTATTTGGACCCCTGCAAGCTTTTTCGGGCTGGCTGAAATCTCGCACGAAGCACCAAACCATAAACTTTCAACATGAAGTGGTTGGAACAAATATAGCCAACATACTAGGTGCAAAGTGTCGATGCACTCAAGGAGACAAAAAAGTATTCACTATTTGAAAAATTTTCAGCTTTGACAACACATCAGAAAAACAATGACGGCATATCAGGTTTGGGTTAAGTAGAAACTGGTACTGTTAGTTACTGGTAAAATTAATTCGACAATTATTTAAAGAAAAACTGCTCTGAATTTTTGGCCATTCAGAAAAACTTCAGAGAAAGCTATTCCGAGTAATTTAGAAAAAATTCTGCTATTCTACTTTAAACTACGAGTCCTTTTTTGTTTTTATTTTAGGAGGTTTGAATTTAGCAGATTTGTTCTTTTAACCTCAAAAAATACAAATTTCCATTTTTAAAAATCAATTTGATCTACTTATTTGCAACTGCGGTCGGAATATTCTCTGCTACTTGCACAGCAGCAGGCTACTCTTTTTGTTCTTTAAAGCTTGATTATGTATGAATGATGCAATGAGAACTCTTCTTCTTGAATGTCTTCAGATCAAAAAAAATCCAGAAGTTATTAAATTGAACTATAATTGACAAAACAAATGGTAAAATACATGTCACGATAGGTCATTATCACGATCAAAAAAAAAGCTTAATCAAAGTTAGAAACAATTCATATGGGCAAAAATTAAAGTCACACTGTCGATTGGACTTTCCATGATACCAGCGAATCCAGTTTGAATTTCACTTAGCAAAGTATTCGCTCTAAATACATCAGAAAAATCCAAGGACGTGAAACCAGTAACCAAGAAAGCAGGAATAGGCATTGCGAGAAGGAATACATCTTTAAATAAAGAAGAAAACTAGTTTTTAGTCGCCATGAAATCTTCCAGCTCCTTGTCGAGGTCATTTGCACTCGGTTTTGGTTTACGTGCCGTTTTGGAAGCCAGAGCTCCATTTTTAACTGCTGCTTTCTGTTTATTGTTTAATGAATATTTTTTATTCTTATTTTTGCTGATGTTATTTTTGAAGCTTCCTTTCAGTCTGTTTTCCATTTTCGGCTTGAAAGAAGTTCGATTCAGATTGCTTTGTGCCCTGTTTTGAATTGGCTTTTTAAACCCAGTGACTCCCGCTGCTTTCGCTAGACGCTCTTTTGCACTCAATTTCTGTGTATTTTGTCCTAAACGAGCTTGCACGGACAATCTTTGAGTGACTTTCTTCTTCACTCTGGCCGATTCTGATATGGCTTCTGGGCGTTTCTTGGGCGAGTATTTGGCTTTCATTGCTTCCCTCAAAGGCGACAGATCCCGCATCCGTTCACTCAGACTCTTCGGCTTCAGGTCCATTCGCATTGTTGAGCGGCCACCCGAAGAGCGATTCTGTAATCGAGACGCTGTCGGTCTAGAAGATGAGGTCATCATGTTGTCGGCTCTGAAGTTTGAAGCCGGAATCGAACTCTGATGTCTTCGTGCCGTTTCCATTGGATTTGCAGAGAAGGGTCTGATCTGAATTCTGACTTCATCGGGAGCTATAACATTTGGTCGGTTTCTATACGAAGAGCGACTTAGTTCTGAGTGTATTTGAGATAATTTGTAGAAGCGTTCATGTAGTGGAATGTCTGTGCTGTTTCGCACCAGACATCGGTCCAGAATAGAAGGAGAATCGTCACGTGATCGGAACATTGAGACAAAATCCGATCTTTCTTAAATTACAGGCGCTATTTAACTCAACACCCGATCTGAAAATGTAACATTTATTGAGCCAGTTTATATCTAAGATATTTCAATCCAAACATTCTTGAAAACAGGTAGCAAAATTTCGTAAACTTTATTAGAAAGCGCATCAAATGTACACAAATAGTATTATGATGGTATGTATATAAGCAATCCGAAAAATAGAAACTCCTCGATAATTTATTTTGCTTTAAATAACTAATGGACAAGACAAGTTAAGTCGCCTTCCCAGGTGTATTTCGAAATTATTCACATTTTCCTCATTAAATAATTTACTTCAAATTCAGCTAAACAAAGACTGGAGACATCTAATTGAGGTCAATAAAGTTTAAACGTTAAAAAATAACAGTTTCGTGGAGCCAAGCCAATACAGTCAAACCAATCCATCTGCAGCCTCATTCCATTTGAAGCAAATTATATGCGCGCAACAACCAATAGTAGCACAAAAAGAAACGACAGAAATCAAAACAATTGCAGGAGAGAAAACTTTCTAATCTTACACTAAGGAACAATGTGGGCTTTACTGCAGTTAACGATATCAACAATAATCTCGAAAGCAAATTAAGGAGCAATGGGTCCTTCAGAGGAATCATTAGCTGAAGTTGGAAATATGAAGCAGTTTTGAAGCGGGGTTTTTTCTTTGGAAAAATTTCTCTTAACAAGAAAACTTAAGGCTTCATTTCTTGCTGTGATGAAATCAATTTACGAGATGTTGTTCCAGATTACTTGTAATAAAAATCAAGAGGTGTTGCCGCTTGTGATTCCGTTCTGAGTTCCTGCTGTCGAGATCACTTTGACGATGGATGCTGTGAACTTGTCCACACTGAGAGGCGATATGTTGTCTACGTAAGAGAAGCAACTCTCTAGTTCGTCCACTGCCTCGTGACGATGTAGGTGTTGAGTTCTGAGTCGGGAAAACATAGGCACTAGTTGGCTGCTCCAGGTGTCCGAGACGACACTGATTCTCTTGTTGGGACTGTTGGTGACATTCTTATCCCCCTCTGACGAGGGGGTTGTCGCAGGACTAGGAGTGCCGCTGGAGTCCGAGATACTCATTGAATCTAGCTGCTCTCGCATTTTCACTGTGCCCATCGGGAAATTCCACTCACCCACTGACCTAGATTGCAATAAAAGGGAAGTGAAAGAACAAATGGGCAATAGATGATAGATGTATGGAGCATTCCGATAGACTAAGTTTAAGGGAAACGTTTTCTTCAAACTCTCTATTAATAATATACAAAAACTACTGCAGTATAAGTTACTACTACAGTATTCCTTAAATTACTGCAGTATAAGGAAAAGTAAACGTTTCAGGCAACAGAAGTGCTTTCAAACACTGATTAAATCGAAAAGTATTAGTAACATATCTTACTTTCTGCTACTCATTTTTCTTACTTGTGGGCTGAATCTGAGTCTTCGTCGTCCTTCTGGTCGTCCTCTTCGTCTCGGGTGGACCGCCCATTCCTATCTGTGTGGCCCCTCTCCGCCTGCCACTTCCTGTACTTGTCAATCAGTTCCACCAGCACAGCTGGCTTCTTACTGTTGCGCACTATGAATCGGTTCTTAAGCAGTTCCTTCGCACTCGGTCGCTAAACGCACAAAACAATACAAATCACAGCTTTTTTTACATAAGGCGAAGCTGCAATTCGCAAACAGAACCGAAAAAAAAGCAAAGAAGCTATAATAAAGTTTATCAAAGTGAGAGCAATTAAATTGCCGTGGCTAAAAATTTTTTGATACTTTTGAACCCCGACATGAAGAAATATATCACGTCCTCGACTTAACCACGTCCCACAACTGCTCGATGTTTGCGTGATAAGCCAACAAAAAAGCAGATAAAAGAGATGCTATGTAATTGTTGCTGCACTTCTCTATTTGCTAGTTGGGTTGAAAAAATTTGCTAGTTCATAAGACACTACACTCGCTTGCCCGAACGGCTTGCAAGCAAGTATTTAGCCGACACTGAGAATTTCTGATACTAATTTTTATACAGAGGCAAAGCGGAGCTTTGCAACTCCTGAGATACATCTAACACATGGCATTGAAAAATATTGAATAGAATAAAAGTAATAATTTCAAAAAAATGAGATAAAAAAATTAAATTAAAAGCCGAAAAACGAAAACTACAAAAATTTAATTCATACCATTGTCTTGAAAGATAAACTTGAAAGATAAACAGACTTAAAACGTACCAAAAATCAATGCCCGCGAGGCAACTAAGGCAAAAAAATTGGATTGACCCTCGTCAAACCTCAACTCTAGACATAAAAATATTCTAGCTTAAAAAATATCTTTTAGAAAGTTAAAGTTTTACGACCCATCCCTACTAAAACAGACAAAAACAATAATTATAATTTCCCCTTGAAACCTCACCGCAAATTTGACGAAGCCGATATCATAAACGTTCAGCTCGTTTAACCGAAAAAAACGATATAAAATTATTACACAGAGGCGCGAAGCTGCATTTCGCATACACAAGCAAAAATATGACAGATAACGCTACTGGAAAAACTGAATGAGTAAAACCTTGAGTCTTAAAATTTTCTTGACGTATGTCAATTATGACGAATTGGCAGTACCAGTCAATTTGAAAAAAAAATTCACCAACTAACATGCCTCAATTTATAGAGCAGTCTATCGAGCAGTAATAACAAGAAAAAATTAAAAGTAATGAAAATAAAACGAATTTTTTTTAACTTCAGATTTTTTTTGTAAAAAACATTCCCCCACACGCCATATTAAAAACAAAGTGATACATTTCGCTTCTAGTAACAACTCAATTATGGCAAATAAGCTTCATTAATCGTTCCAAATAAGCTTCGTTAAACCAATTTGGAACGACTTCTATGACGAATTAAATCTCCGCTTCCGCGTTAATAGCTCGAAATGTATCGCGCGTTAATTATCCCCAATTGGCCAAAATGGCAATTTTAAAACTTCCATAACTTTACAAAAGTTTATCAAGTGAAAGTTTTTTCCAAATTTAAACTCAGGACGACAATACTTTTTGAATGATATAAAAAAAATCCGTCAAAAATGGCTAGTTAAAGTCGAAATTTGTCTGAAGAAAAAACCACTACGAGAACAAATATTCCGTTACTTTCGCTTACAAAAGTGCGAACAATAATAGTCTGTGTTAATATCCCTAGCATTGCATGCACTTAATAGCTGGTTACCGATCAAAATGAACACTTTCAAAACGAACACATTTTATCGCAACAATTTTTGCGACTTAGGTTGATAAAAAAAGATAGTTCATAGTATAACACAGGCATTGATTGTGTAAACAATCAGAGTTGATAAATTCTAGCAAGAGCAATTTTTAATTATAAAAAAGTTGGAATCAAAAAATATCAAGTGAAAGTTTTTTCCAAATTTAAACTCAGGACGACAATACTTTTCGACTGATCGAAAAAAATCCGTCAAAAATGGCTAGATAAAGTCGAAATTTAACTGAAGAAAAAAACCACTACGAGCACAAATATTCCGTTACTTTCGTTTACAAAAGTGCGAACAATAATAGTCTGTGTTATTATCCCTAGCATTGCATGCACTTAATAGCTGGTTACTGATCAAAATGAACACTTTCAAAACGAACACATTTTATCGCAACAATATTTGCGACTTAGGTTGAAAAAAAAAGATAGTTCATAGTATAACACAAGCATTGCTTGTGCAAACAATCAGAGTTGGTAAATTCAAGCTAGAGCAACTTTAAATTATAAAAAAAAATGGAATCAAAAAATAAAAACCCAGCTTTAAAAAAACCACTCGAAAGGGTTGACAGATAATATAAATTGCATTTGAAAAAAACCCAAAATCAGCCCACAGAAATTAGGACGAAAAACGAAAAACACAAATTCGATTTAAAAAATGAACATTTTTCAGTTTTTTTATTCGAAAAACATAATTATTACCCCATCTGAACTTAAAAAAAAGAATTGAATTTTCGGGAAATTGAGAATGTCAGTCTTTAAGCATGTGAGAATGTCGGCACAAAGTGTTAAAGTTGTTTACGGGAAAAAAGTCTTAAATCCTGATCACAAGTCACCTCGTAAGTAAGAAAAATTGAAAGGTTATACACAAAGGCAAAGCGATGCTTTGAATCACTTGCAAATAAACACAAACAAAAGAAATAAGTCGATAAAATGAAAAGTAATAAACAAAAAACAAAGAACCAAAAAACTTTCCTATGCTTCGATGAAAGACAACTAGGGGCCCAGCTTAAGCTGGACGCACCTGTTTGTTATTTTTTAAATTTTTTATACTAATGCGAGACGAAATGTGTTATTTCATAAATTGATATTTGTCTAAAACCTTAGTTGATTCTCTACTAAAATACTAAAGAAGGGTGAAAACTTTTGAGATATTGGAATTTTTCCAAGGAAATAACCTTTCACTTTTAAAAAATTGAGGAGTCGCCTCTTCCACAGAAAAAATATCGCAACCTGTTTTTTCAATTTAGTTTTTTCTCAGATTTGAAAGTAGGTTTTATGAAAATTCAAAAATCTACCAAAACGGTCAGAAGTTCAAAAACCTGACTTTTCGAATTCCACAAATGTTTTCTGCAAAAAGCAAGACAAGGAGCTAATTTAGATAGAAGATTTCCAAAACCAGGCTTTTGACTGAACACTTCACCTGAGAATTCGAACGGTAGTTCTTGTTTCGTTTTAACCAATGAAATCAGAATTGCGTACGTTGGGACGTAGTTCTGGATTTGGGACGTAGTTCTCGAGAAAAGTCAAAAATTTTCAAAAAAAACGGTCAAAATTTTTACTTCTCTGAGGCCCATAACGTCCTGTTTCAAAAAAAAATAGGCGTAGATGCGTACGCAAAGGAGCTTTTCCCGACCATTTTTTTTAGATAACGGAGGATAGTTTTCGAGAAATTTCAAAAAAGTTTAGAAAAACGGTCAAAAAATTTGATGTCAAAAAATCAGCGCTATGTCCATTGAAACCACAATCTTAGAAAAGGGGGATTTTACAAAAGTGAAAAAAATCAAAAATGGTCAAAAAATCAACAATTTGACTATTCCGAGGGCCATATCTTTATGTGTTAAAAATAATAATTTGGGCGTAGCCAATTATGCAGGTGACTTTCTAAAATCTGTCCTATTCATTGAAACCAAAACTGCAGATTAGAGGGGGTAGTTTTTTCAAAAACGAAAACAAAAATATAGCTCAAATATTGCCTCCACAGACTTTTTCAAAGTAAGTAAAGTAAATAGATGTAAAGTAAAAAGAGACGATGGGAGTATGCGTGCACACAGGGGAGCAGCCGGGCTTTCCTTGATACCTTTCTGAAAATCGGTTAAATTTTTTACATTTTTTTTTTCAAAAAGTGAAAGACTCATACACACTGAATAAACAAGGTCCGGCAGGGATACAAATTCGGGACCTTCGTTACCTCTTGGCCAAGTGCAAAGGAACCTCGTAGTTGTTAAGATTCAATGATTAATCAAGCTGATAATGTGTAAGAAAAGTTGTTTACGGGAAAAAATTCTACTTCCCGGTTACAAGACACTTGCTTTCGAAGTGTAAGTATGATTCAAGAATCGATCGACTACCAGCGGGTTAAGAAAATCCAAAATCAATTCAGAACAATGAGGTTCAGGGGTTAGCCAGCACAATTGAATTCTACAAATCATAGCCAAAAGGAAATTGGAAAAGAGTCAAGGAACTAAACAAAAGCGACAAAAAAAGGGAGCTTCATTCATTCACATGTAAAAAGCCTTCATTCACATATATATATGTTAACACTATGAGAAGAATATATGTTTTGGTATTCCACTTACATATGCAGTGTTTTTGTTGAGACAGTGTTCTACGAACTCCTTGAAGCCTTTGGAGAAGCTGCCCTCTAAAACAGGCGAGGGTTGCTTAGGAATGAGGAAGAGAACTCGCATCGGGTGCAGCTTCGAGAACGGGGGCTCCCCATGGGCCAACTCAATTGCAGTTATACCCAGAGACCAGATATCTGCCTAGAGCACAAAGAAGGGAGTTAGGATAGTCTAATCTTCTCAAAATAAACCAGAATAAGAAATTATTTCACTCTAAGAATCAGAATTACACAAGCAATTAACAAAAATACAAAATTAAACAAATTGGCAAAACTTTTTTACACAAATCGTTAATGGTCAATCGTTACCGATAATTAAAGTGGATACGCTAAGGGTTTGATGAAACCCACTTGGAGCGTACCCTGGTGACAATTAATTTCATTGAAATTGCTATCATCAGTTTTGAAACTTAAAGAAAAAAAGGCAGATCATTTTTTAATCAGAATTTTACAGATTATTCATGCAATAGAAAAGTAGCTCTGAAAACTCGCTGTTTTGGGCAGCATAAAATCCCTGTTCTATTGACGCAAACCAAAAACAAGATAGCATCTCAATATCTTCCCTGCCATTCATGAAGGGAACTAAGTCGATAAACGTTACAAACTAAATTCTTCAAAGCGAGAAAATATTACTTTTTCATTAAAATATTTCGTCCGTATCGTATCAACTCAACAGCAAAGTATCACGTGGGACTTTTCAGTTAAGCAAAAATTGTATTTAAACTGACGAAACCAAAGCTGACATCCATAAAACCGAATGTCATCTTCCAATTTCATGATAGAAGTACGATCAAATGTAGGTTATTTGCAGCTGATCTAATGACAAAATAGACATGCATTTACCTTCATAGAGTCGAAACTTAGTATCCTTACCTTGTAGTCGTATTCTGATTGCTGAATCACTTCGGGTGCCATCCAGAAAGGAGTGCCAGTAAAAGTGTTCCTCTTCATCTGCGTGTCTGTCAATTGACCAGACACACCGAAGTCCCCCAATTTCACGTCCCCATTCTCCGCCAACAACACATTGGCCGCCTTGATGTCTCTGTGCAACTTCCTCTGACTATGCAGATACTCCAGTCCCTTTAGGACTTCACGTAGAATGGTCGCAATAAAGACTTCTTCGAAAGGACCTGGCTTCATCTGGAACAGATTTGAAAATTTTTTTTGTGTCAAAATTGTCGAACGTTCAGATCAAAACTTCCCAACTCAGAAAAAAACAATTCAGTGGTTTATTGATTCAAACGATAAATTGCACAAAAGCGAAGCGAGGCTTCGCAACACTTGTGGTCCCACGCAAAAGTAGCATTGAGGCTAGCAGACAGGAAAGGAGAGCCACTAAGCCCAAAAAAGTGAAAAAATTGCAACGTTCAAATCAAAACTTCAAAATTTTGTCTTTAATGATGTTTTATTTGCGGAAAACACGTCCAGAAATGCAATAGACAGCGTTTAATGAGAGCTCAAAAACAGTTATCAAGTGTCAACTGAGCCGACAAAACTTCCCGTAAATTCGAAAACAAATTGTTGTCATGAAAAACTTTTAACTATAAATCCTTATTCTAAGACTTTTTATCATTATGTGCAATCCGGAGGGAAGCATAAACTAATGCTTTCCTTGAAACGACCCATAATTAGGTCACTAAGCCAATAAAGTATTAGTCGAAATTATTTTTGCCAAAGAAAGTTTATGAGCGAGAAAATATACCAAGTCAAGGTTAGTGAAATTACAATTTGCAGGGGTAAATCAAAACACAAAGCAAAATTAGGGAAAATTGCGTAAAGCAGAAAAAAATTGGATCCAATGTGACAAAATAATAGGCTGACATTTCTCTTGAAACTGAACATTTCCCGTTTGGAAACAAAAACATGTCCTGGTCAGATTCTAACCCAGGACCTTTGCCATCCCAGACGTATTCGTAAGCTTCATAACAAGCAAGCCGGAGAGGCAAAGAAAAGTGAACTCATTATGAGCCAAGATACCTAGTGACTCTTTTAAACAAGTTGCTCACCCGGAAAAAAAGTATATATTCCGCTTTGATAACGCTTGCTAATCGCAAGCGTTACCATATTGAGCATGCTATATATTATGCTCAATAATTAAGAACAAACATCACTTTTAATTGATCCACAAAGATGGTTTTATCATCATTGGTAACCCGTCAACTTCTATTTTAAATTACTCACTAGATCTAGGGCCGATCCTCCTCCGAGGTACTCCATGATAATCCAGAGTTTGGTGCCCTTAAGGAATGAGTTGAAGTAGTTGATGACGTGAGGGGACCTACATTGGGACAGGGTCTTGATCTCCTGCAGGATATCCTCTATCTCATCCTCCGCCTCCTCGAGGTCAATCAGCTTAATGGCCACAACCTGTCCATATAAAGAGTATTAGTTGACCAAGAGGTAACACAAAATTGCACGTTGTATACGCGAGGAACTATAACTTAAACTACAAAAACTAGCTAGATACAAAAAGAACAAATTGAGATTTTGGATTATTTGATTTGAATTTGATTCACAACCTGTTTCGTATTGTTGTCTATCCCTTTGAAGACTTCGCCAAATGAACCTTTCCCTACTCTCTCCAGTTTAGTGTAGAGACTCTCGGGGTCACCATTCGAGCTTCCAAAACTTCCCGAGGCATTCTAGATAACAAAATCATTACTTCATTATCTACAGAAACTAAAACAGCTGAGTTTACTTCAAGGTGATAATGATCTAAGCATCAACTTACAGAGGATCCTCTGGAATTCGGCAAAAGGACATGGTCCATCGCCAGTCTGATTGATGGTTGGCCAACTCGATGACCATGGAAGAGGTAAGTCAAACAAACTCAAAACTATTCAACATGCCCTAACTGAAAAACAAATCAGTAGTTGCTAGTGTAGGCAGAGCAAAGAGGTTTGATTGACTATTACTACTTTATATGGGAGCTTTGAATAATTGAATGGTAGTGCAGAAAAAAATTAGTTCATCAAACTTCAATTCACTTTAAGTTAAGCTACTGATGAAGCATTGGACGAGATCTTGGGCCATAGATCGGCGCACTCTTTGGCAACTGGGCCAGTGATAGCGGAACCTTTCATTTCGCCCTTGACATTGACAATGACTCCTGCATTGTCCTCAAAGTAGATGAAAACACCGTCCTTCCTCCGGTAGGGTTTGCGCTGCCTGATGACGACAGCGGGCATAACCTGTATAATAAATAGCAGTACAATTAACTGATTGGAAAGTCCCAAAAAAAACAATTGACAGATGCGAAAAGTGATTGCTGAGAGCTAGCACAATTAGTTCAAAATTCATGCAGGATCATACCAAAAAATGCCAGTTAATGAATGGAAAACAGGTCGGTGAAAAGGTGCTAGAATGATCATTATGATATTAAGACATGGAATCGAGAAAACATCAAGAATGAAGAAAGGGATAGAGAATTTGAAACTATTTTATGTTCAGAGAAAACATTGAGAATGAAGAAACGGATCGAGATTTTAAAATTATGTTCAACACACCTTTTTCCGCAGTTCGGGTTTGCCTTTTTTAACTGTTGCCATGACCATGTCACCAGCCGCAGCTGCGGGAAGCCTATTCAACCTTCCGTGGATTCTTTTCACCGAAATGATGTACAAATTTTTGGCTCCCGTGTTATCTGCGCAATTTATCACAGCGCCAACAGGAAGTGCCAAAGAGATTCGGAACTTGCTTCCTCCACCTCCCTTTCCTCGACGAGACATTTTCAACTGAAAATATTAGTAGATGATATTTTATTGAAAACATAATATCAACTGTGAAACTGTGAGCAGAGGCAGGCGCGGGATTTTCTTGTTTCTATGTTCTGATGTATATCAGCTAGTAACTTGTTTCTGTCATTGTTTAGTGTCTGTATTTATAATCAGTTCCTTTTTTGATTTTCAGTTCTGATGATGATAATAAAATCGAAACGCGTCAAACTTTGTTGTTTTCTAAAACATAATATCATAACAGCTAACGAGACATTGAAAATTTATACGCAACAAAATGCAATTTTCAAGGTGCTTTTTCAATGCATATTTGATGCCCACTAAAAAAAGAAAATCAGCATAATAAAATTGAAAATAAGATGAGCGGTCCTTGAGCAGAAACCTGAATATGATAATGGTCGACGCGAGAAATCAATAAATTAGATTAGGTGAACAAGCAATTCCACGGTAGCTATTTTCGATCAGGCATTGAGCGAATAGAAAAAAACTTCAGATGACCAGTAGCCATTATAGCAAACCAGAATATTTTAGGGGTCAGATATAGTTTTAGGGCAGGGTTTAGCATGGGGTTGAAAACTTTGCATCGAGGATACTAGGAAGTAGCTGCTGTCTTAAGTTTCGACTCTATTCCCAACAATTTTTTTTTGTTCCGTGTTTGAACTCATTTGTTTGGAATGTTTAATTTGGGAGTTCCGAGAGCTATAAGCTTACCTAGAGAGGCTTGTATGTTCAACAATTACACCACTGATTACAAGAAAAAAATTCTGGATGGTTGGTTTGCAATGCTGTCAAGGACCACGTTTTTTTGCTAAACGTTGTTTTTGAAGAAGGTTCGAAGACCGCTCAGTGATTTTTGAGTTAGTTGAAGCTCATCGTTTTTGATATCCGTTTTGAAGTATCTTTTTTGTTTGATGCTTCTGTAAGGCCAATAGTTTCTGTAACAGTCGCCTACTGCAGTCACATATGAGGCTTAAGAAAAATAGGCCCAATAACCATTGGCTCAAGAGTCAGGGACACTATCTCTTGTGTTTTTCTACCTCAAGAACGGTCGGAGCCAATTCGGTTCGCTTGCGACATGAGACTAGAACCCGCTACAGCTTGAAGGCTACTACCAAAATATCCCTCCACTCTAGAAAATAAGAACGTCCCCATACTTAGGTCTCAAAATACCCAAAATACGCGAACGCCGTTAAAAACAGGGTTGGAACAATCCGTTAAGTTACTTTTTATTGGACAGTGAAACTTTGATCCATTTCAGATGGATCAACCTAAAACTCGCCTTATCTCAACATAACAATCATAAAACACACTCGAGAAATTTAAATTGGGGACTCACATGTTGATGTACTCGAGTACAGGGAGTAATTAAATTGGTAAGCAGCTCAAGAATTAGATAATATAACTAGATAAGTTTAATACTGGTCAGTTTTGGTAACAGAAGTAAATTCTGGCTCTAGAATTTGAGTTTTTGTATGAAGCATTGGGACACTCAAGCTGTCCACCTTTCCATTGAAGGTTCACTCTAGTTCGTTCCGAATAGTCGTTCTTTCTTCTATTTATCGTCTCTCCTCCTATTTCGGGATAAGACAGCTCTACCCGTGTCCTATTTTATATCTGGAAATTGCGAATAGCAATTTCCCGCTGTTTTTCTTTAGTATTTTCCCGCAATTGTAAATTCGGATGTTCTGATTTCTTACTTTATGTTTTCAGTTGGTACGAGAAAACTGAGCATGACAGGCTCCATTCGAAATTTTGAAAATTAAAACTTCACTCCAAAATTACGTATTTTCGTGTCTCTCAAGGTCAAACTTCCAGATATGACCGACTGGCACATACTCCCCGGACTCAAGATCGATGTCCTCATCGCGTGCTGTCGTTGTCAGTGAATCCCCTGAAGCCCGAGTGTCACTCAAGATACAGTGCCAGTGGTCATTTACAGAAGTTTGCAGCAGACTCAAGTTTATCTACCTTCCAAAATTCACGACCATATAAAATTTTCACACTATCGCTAAACAGCAATCAAAATCTGCACACACCTGCACCTTATGAATTCCCGCTTTTTAAGCTGGTGATTTAAAATTTCTTTTGTCCTATTCAATCAGGAAATCGTCATGCAGCATTTTGATTTATATAATAGATCTAGCATATTAATAACAATATCTTATTCGTTAAAATTTCTTTTTCGTGAACCCAGATTTCATCAGAGTTCACCCTCGAGCGCCCTCCCTCTCAAGACTCAAGACTCTAGAATTTTCCTTTTGAGCCACTGGCTCACCTTGTGTTCTTTGCCCTCGAGGTACCCGATCCAGATACTTTTGACACTGTGATCTGTTCCAATAGTGCTTCTTCGTCATCGGAGCTGATCACGATCTCCTCCCAAGCCTTCAGCTGTTCATAGGATCGCATCCACTCCCTTTGCTCTTGCATTCTCTTCGCTTGATTCGGTAAGCTCTTCACCTTCGACTCCCGGTTCAAACAGAAGGAATTGTGAAGACTCAGGCTTACATTCTTCGCCAGGTCCTCCTCCAGTATTGACTCCCTCGCTCTAGTGTTGTCTCTGGATACTCTACCCACTCTTTTCCACCCCGTCGTGATCGCATTCCGATGGGTCAGCAGAGGTCTTTTGAAGGCATCTGGTCCTATCTCGGCCTGGAATTGTCGATATTCCTTTTGATGTTTCCTCATGTGATCCTTCGTCGCTACATATAACCAGGATGTCAACGTCGCGCGAAACCAAGGAAAGAATCTCAAGCGGCTCCACACGTGTCTGACTTCCATTGGTATGGCGAACACCTTGCATGCTGTCTGGAACAACTCAAGTCTCCTGCTGTAATCTATCGCGTGAATCGACTCTGCTGTTGGCGTCTTCGATTCTCAATACTTTGCTATGTTTTCTTCCATCCATCGTAGAGCCAGCATTGTGCTCACCACCAAGATGGTCACTTTTTGTTGATGCTCGGGTAGTCCCAACGACCTGATTTCTTCTACATCCCAGATCAGGCAGAGATTGGTTTGGTCTGGGTACCACACTGTCTGCGCCAGACAGTGGCACGGACAATCCCCGTGTGTGAGGTCAATGCTCCTAAGATTGCGTTCTCCCAAGGCTTCTAGGAGAGACTCAAGTTCCATCATCTTCTCGTGTATCACGTCGACTTCTTCCAAGTTTGGGGCACTTACCATGGGTTTCCCAATCACGTTTTGTCTCTCGAGGTCACTTGTATTTTCGCTCTCCAAGCCTAGAAGTCCTTCACCCCAGATTTCACTCAAGTCGTCCCTTTGTTCTTTAGGCACTGTTCCTCGGATCTTCCTCAACAGCTTGTGTGAATGATGTGACATCCGAGCCAGTCTTACACATTTGGGCACTGAGAAGGCTTTGTCTATCAATACCCTCTGGCTGGATATTTCTACCAATGCCATGTGCAATGGATAGTGGCTGCCACATAGGTTGGCCATCACTGACCCCACTAGGGACTTCGCATTTAGAGGCAGTCCATAGGCTTCGCTCATGGGAAATCCCATCTCCGCTTCGAGTCCAACCTTCCAACTCTTGATGTGTTTCTGGGTCACCTGCAACACTCCGGGCCATGACTCCACGCTCAACGCGGTCACCAAGTGGTGTTCTGACTCTAGCCTCTCCAATGACTGGAGACTACACATTCTCGAGAAGAAACCCAGAGCTGTTGCTAGGTTCACAGTGGTACTCGCGTAGCACTCAGCCACTATCTGTATCTCACTTTTCTCCCTTTCGGTGATATCTTCAAACCAGGTGACTAGGTCTTTTTTCTGGAAAGACTGTATCCTGATGCACGATCGTCCATCACAGGTGTGCTCGCCATTCCCACACGTCGAGTCAAGACAACTGCCCGGCTCCATCTTCTTTACCGACCCTGTTCCGCTCGTCATCTCACTTGACTCCTTCATCTGAGGCGGGATCAGTCTATGTACTATACTCAAGGTCGCTAAATCTTCATCCTCTGTCGGCGCCAATCTCACTCGCTCAGTGACTTCCTCGATCAGGCTCGCATGGGGATGTGGACACCAAGAGGGCCTGAGCAACTTCCACACCACTCCCAGATTCGTGGTCAACGTGCCGTTCCCGTTACCCATTCTTAGTTCTACTCTTTTACTTGAGCGTGGCACACTTATTACTTCCGGTGTCCTCTCGAGAATCAAACCCAGACTAGGTCTCTCTCTTTCCACAGGGTCTATCTCCATTATCCTCTCTATCCAGAACTTCAGTAGCTCCGCCACCTCATAGTTTCTGTGGGCACCTCCAGCTTCCAAGTCTAGGAAAGGGTTATATGCCATCCCCATCACTCCAGACACATACTGATACTCTCCCTTCTTGTTGGGTTTCGAGTACTCTCCTGGAGGGGCCAGGTTACGGTGAACGTCGTGTTTCTCCTCGAACTTCTTGTTGTAGAACCTCCGTATCTCATCTAACTTCCTGTGGCTCTCCAGAGATTGCCTAGAACCATCTTCCTTTTCTATCCCAGTACTCTGGTACACATTCAAGATTACTATGGAGACTCTCCTCTCCAGCGTCTTGCTTCCAATTGCTCTCTGGTGACATGCTAGGATGGTACTGTCAGTCATCATCGACATCGTCCATCTCAAGAAGCAGGTAGCATCCTTCCTCCTTGCCAGGCTCAAGCCTGAGTTGTCTCTAGCAACATGCTGCATCAGCATTCGATATACCTCTAGGTTCTTGCCTCCCAACTTCAACTTTTCGTACGAAGTTAGTGTCTCTAACTCTATTCCCAACAGGCTCCACGCAAACATCAGTTGCCCTGCGGTCCTAATAAAGGGATTCGCCATCAACGGCGATGCCGATGATGATGTTCTCATCGCTTCTTCAAAATGATCCTTTAACAAGCTCTGCCAAGTTCTCTTCAACTGGCTCCCCAATTCTAATTTATTGATACCAGCCTTCTGCTGGGTAGCCCAGTTGCGTCGTTTGCGTGACACTCCACTGTCGAGCTTCTTCAGGCAGTCTTCCAATT